GTTTTCAAAATGTCTGAAATGTCGGAAATTTGACTGCTGAGCGTGATTTTTGAGCCGAATTCTGACTCTCTGCACCTATTTTCAGTTTCAAATTACGACGTTTCATACCGAAAATATGCCAATTCCTGAAAACGGCGATGGGTCATATTTTACCCAAACCCCCCTGCAGTTTTCAAAATGTCTGAAATGTCGGAAATTTGACTCCTGAGCGTGACTTTTGAGCCAAATTCTGACGCTCTGCACCTTTTTTCAGTTTCAAATTACGACGTTTCATACCGAAAACATGCCAATTACTGAAAACGGCGATGGGTCATATTTTGCCCAAACCCCCCTGCAGTTTTCAAAATATCTGAAATGTCGGAAATTTGACTCCTGAGTGTAATTTTTGAGCCGAATTCTGACTCTCCGCTCTTAATTTCAGTTTCAAATTACTACTTTTTATACCGAAAATATGCCTATTACTGAAAACGGCGATGGGTCATATTTTGCCCAAACCCCCCTGCAGTTTTCAAAATGTCTGAAATGTCCGAAATTTGACTCCTGAGCGTGAATTTTGAGCCGAATTCTGACTCTCTGCACCTATTTTCAGTTTCAAATTACGACGTTTCATACCGAAAATATGCCAATTACTGAAAACGGCGATGGGTCATATTTTGCCCAAACCCCCCTGCAGTTTTCAAAATGTCTGAAATGTCGGAAATTTGACTCCTGAGCGTGATTTTCGAGCCGAATTCTGAATCTCTGCACCTACTTTAAGTTTCAAATAACGACGTTTAATACCGAAAATATGCCAATTACTGAAAACGGCGATGGGTCATGTTTTGCCCAAACCCCCCTGCAGTTTTCAAAATGTCTGAAATGTCGGAAATTTAACTCCTGAGCGTGATTTTTGAGCCGAATTCTGACTCTCTGCACCTTTTTTCAGTTTCAAATTACGACTTTTTATACCAAAAATATGCCAATTACATAAAACAGCGCAGGGGTCATATTTTGCCCAAACCCCCCTGCAGTTTTCAAAATGTCTGAAATGTCGGAAATTTGACTCCTGAGCGTGACTTTTGAGCCAAATTCTGACGCTCTGCACCTTTTTTCAGTTTCAAATTACGACGTTTCATACCGAAAATATGCCAATTACTGAAAACGGCGATGGGTCATATTTTGCCCAAACCCCCCTGCAGTTTTCAAAATATCTGAAATGTCGGAAATTTGACTCCTGAGTGTAATTTTTGAGCCGAATTCTGACTCTCTGCTCCTAATTTCAGTTTCAAATTACGACTTTTTATACCAAAAATATGCCAATTACATAAAACGGCGATGGGTCATATTTTGCCCAAACCCCCCTGAAGTTTTCAAAATGTCTGAAATGTCGGAAATTTGAATCCTGAGCGTGATTTTTGAGCCAAATTCTGACTCTCTGCACCTATTTTCAGTTTCAAATTACGACATTTCATACCGAAAATATGCCAATTACTGAAAACGGCGATGGGTCATATTTTGTCCAAACCCCCCTGCAGTTTTCAAAATGTCTGAAATGTCGGAAATTTGACTGCTGAGCGTGATTTTTGAGCCGAATTCTGACTCTCTGCACCTATTTTCAGTTTCAAATTACGACGTTTCATACCGAAAATATGCCAATTCCTGAAAACGGCGATGGGTCATATTTTACCCAAACCCCCCTGCAGTTTTCAAAATGTCTGAAATGTCGGAAATTTGACTCCTGAGCGTGACTTTTGAGCCAAATTCTGACGCTCTGCACCTTTTTTCAGTTTCAAATTACGACGTTTCATACCGAAAACATGCCAATTACTGAAAACGGCGATGGGTCATATTTTGCCCAAACCCCCCTGCAGTTTTCAAAATATCTGAAATGTCGGAAATTTGACTCCTGAGTGTAATTTTTGAGCCGAATTCTGACTCTCCGCTCTTAATTTCAGTTTCAAATTACTACTTTTTATACCGAAAATATGCCTATTACTGAAAACGGCGATGGGTCATATTTTGCCCAAACCCCCCTGCAGTTTTCAAAATGTCTGAAATGTCCGAAATTTGACTCCTGAGCGTGAATTTTGAGCCGAATTCTGACTCTCTGCACCTATTTTCAGTTTCAAATTACGACGTTTCATACCGAAAATATGCCAATTACTGAAAACGGCGATGGGTCATATTTTGCCCAAACCCCCCTGCAGTTTTCAAAATGTCTGAAATGTCGGAAATTTGACTCCTGAGCGTGATTTTTGAGCCGAATTCTGACTCTCTGCACCTATTTTCAGTTTCAAATTACGACGTTTCATACCGAAAATATGCCAATTACTGAAAACGGCGATGGGTCATATTTTGGCCAAACCCCCCTGCAGTTTTCAAAATATCTGAAATGTCGGAAATTTGACTCCTGAGCGTGATTTTTGAGCCGAATTCTGACTCTCTGCACCTATTTTCAGTTTCAAATTACGACTTTTTATACCGAAAATATGCCAATTACTGAAAACGGCGATGGGTCATATTTTGCCCAAAACCCCCTGCAGTTTTCAAAATGTCTGAAATGTCGGAAATTTGACTCCTGAGCGTGATTTTTGAGCCGAATTCTGACTCTCTGCACCTATTTTCAGTTTCAAATTACGACGTTTCATACCGAAAATATGCCAATTACTGAAAACGGCGATGGGTCATATTTTGCCCAAACCCCCCTGCAGTTTTCAAAATGTCTGAAATGTCGGAAATTTGACTCCTGAGCGTGATTTTTAAGCCAAACTCTGACTCTCTGCACCTATTTTCAGTTTCAAATTACGACGTTTCATACCGAAAATATGCCAATCACTGAAAACGGCGATGGGTCATATTTTGCCCAAACCTCCCTGCAGTTTTCAAAATGTCTGAAATGTCGGAAATTTGAACTCCTGAGCGTGATTTTTGAGCCGAATTCTGACTCTCTGCACCTATTTTCAGTTTCAAATTACTACTTTTTATACCGAAAATATGCCAATTACATAAAATGGCGATGGGTCATATTTTTCCCAAACCCCCCTGCAGTTTTCAAAATGTCTGAAATGTCGGAAATTTGACTCCTGAGCGTGATTTTTATCACGCTCAGGAGTCAAATAAAAGTATAATAAATGACTTTAAATGTAGCCTAAGTACTGTTACCTAAGTACTAGAAATTATATTCAATTAAATGAACTTATATGATAACTTAAAAAATAACTAAGCAAGCAATTGTTAACTTAATTTATATATTCAAGTATATATGCAATGTATTTATATTCAATTTATTTGATTAGGTAAAGTCAGCTTGACTGAATCTCTTCCAACACCACGGACACTTATGAGGTTTTATTTACTTATTGCAGTTGAATCTTTTCTGACATAATGGACACTCATGAGGACTAGTGCTTGGATAAAGATTCACAGCTACACTACAATTTTAATAAACTTACTGAGATATGAGACGTAGCCTCGCTTTATAACCGAGAGACAGATTTATAGAATATTAAAGTCACACAAGCATACAATTGGCCAATTATATACACTAGTAACATGCAATATACTTCTCTGAAAGTCGGTGTGCCTGTCTGACAAGTGTGCCAGACTGATTAACTCTCTTGTCGCAAGTTTAGGCACGATATTTTATTTCACAGCGTTGCTGTATGATGTACTAGTAGCTTTGCTACTTTATTTTACTTTAACTGCGTTGCAGAAGAATGATAGTTGATGGTGAAGGTGGAGCAAAGTCACTGTGTGCTCCGCTCTACACTTATAGATATAAATGTTCTAGGGATTTTCCTTGCAAATACAGTATTGTCCAGGTACTCCCCCAGTTCTAGAGAATATTCACTGGTGATAAAGATAACTAGATAAGGTGTCCTAAGCCAAATAATGTTCGCTAAGGATCCTTCACTGTTTTGTCAACAAACGCCAAGTGCCCCGGGGTGTGTTGGGCACTTCTCTCCCAGCCATGCTCCCTGAGTACGGTAGCCTTCTATGAATATTGATTGATTATTTTTACAGTCTAGACTTATGATTGAGATAAGATGTGATTATAATATAATTAGATATAGGATATAAAGATTATAAGTAGTACTTGATTGTACCACCGATTCTTATTAAGGATTCGATTTTATCCCTACCGGATATTGAATCAATGTTCCAATAGTTTTTTAATTAACAAATCCTTCTAGAAGCTTCTGGATCCTTGAGAGATCATGCACAAAGCCACGTAGGCATCAATAGGGCCCTGTAGCGTACGTGATCATAGTGACATTGTCATCTAGGATCAAGCTGTATAATGAATCTATAATGATTCGGATTTGATTTTGATATGACTTGATATGATTTTGATATGATATAGATATGATACAGATATAATATAGAAATTATACATTTCTTAGATGATTATTAGATATGGTGGGTAAAAATTTCCCACAGGCACCTCGGAACAGGCAATGGTAAGTGTTGTAAGACAATATGTAAACCTTCAATAAGTGACGGTTTACGTCTAGTCACCAGACCAACAACTCTGGAGCATTTTTGTGAACGTAAACCTGCGTTACACTGCCAGAACTGTCTTGTTCTGCTGACAGTCGCAGTCTTAATATTTAGTTTCTTCAAGAGCGGAAAAATTGTGCTCTGAAAGTACCCTGAATTAAGATACCTCTCACATGACTTATACATTTGCTCTTATTGTCAACCTGAATTATATTTGGGACTTTTCTTTTTTCTGTGGTCAAGCTGCTGACGTTTCCTAGGCTTGCTGCATTATTTTTGGTAAAGTCCAAAAGTGCTGAGTCCAGTGCTCAGTCTCCTGGAACGAGGCAGAATCAACATTAATGATTCAAAGTTAGTTCTCGGTGGACTGTCGAGAACCTTATCCACCGACTGGTGGATAAGGTTGCCGTTAGTTGGACCTTGAATAAAGACCTTAAATAGCCCACGTGCATTTTAAATAACAGACTTATAAATAAAAATTAGGCCACTAGTGCAGCAGAAAGTCTAAATGAAACCACTCATTAAATATTCGATTATTTAGCCCGTTAGGGAAGATATACATTTAAAAAACAACAATCAAGACATGGAACATTTAAAAGAGTTCTTTTCCATTGGTAATTTGGTCCATTATTGATACAAAATATATATACACAGGTTCAAAATTCACGTTGAGCCACAACACTAAGCTTGCTGGGGGATGGTAGATGCGAGGAGACTCAACCCTGAGGACACAATAGCCAAGAGCAACGCCGTTCATTTCAACGATTAAACGTTGCCAAGATTGCCAACGTTACTCTTTGATACTGTACCCGCCGGGAAGCACATGTTGGCATGTATGCTTTGTTTTAATAATGTATACATGACTATATAAATATATACATATGTATATATGCTGCAAAACACGTATATTTATCAACTCCATCCTCCTGTTTCTATACTAGTTTTTGTAACTATGTAGACCATCGGACTTTTGACGTAATGGACAAACAGAATTTGGTACTGTTTACATTAAGAGTCTTGGGGGGGGGGGGGGGGGGAATAATAGAAAGCTAAAAACCAAAATTAAATATTCTTAGGCTTAGTATAGTACAAGTGTTATGTTATATATTAGGTCTCTGACCTAATATATAACACATGTTATATATTATATAACATATAATATAGCCCCGTGCATTAGGCCTAGGATGGTTAGGTTTTATTGGCAACAAATACAAAACCTTTTCCTGTTTGTCGAAATTCAATAGTACCAAGTTCTATCAATTGTCTATTATATCGCTATATGTACCATAGTCCATATCGTTAATATAAATACTATATAAACGGGGGGAAGGGCTGATATATACACTCAGAAGTGTACATGGCTTTTCGATGTTTCGTTTAGGCCTGAGCACAGCCCAGACCTAAATTGAAGTATACTTGTGGAGTTAATAACCCACCCGTGAAATGTTTTTTTTAGGTCAATTGTAATATAATTTTGGACACACACACTCACACGTGGGATGAACGCCTTGGGTTGTGGGCAACCCGAGCAACAACTGTGACATGGTGAAGGTCACTGGGCAGCAGGTCAGAGGTCACTTGGAGCAACAGGGCAGCCTCAATTTTAAGCCCCTCTCTTATTCACAATTAACAACACTCACCTCTACACCATTTACTATGTACGGTGAAAACACGTAGATTCTAGAATTATGCATTTTTCGTTTTTTTTTAGCAAATATGAATACAATTGTATTTTATCACTTTTGGCAACCTTCCCTCACAAGATTCTGTGAATCCTCTCCACAACGTAACAAATGCAACTGTTTTTGCCAAACCCGACACGTATGACCTCTAAAACAATCCATTTACCCTATCAAGGCCGATGCATTTCAAAACATTTGATCTTACGGTCGCCTTATAATTTGTACTAAATCGTCGCATTCTTAACGAATTAGTCGATTCCGTTACAAATGTGACGCATCAAGTGGGAGGACAGGGTTGTCTGAGTGTGGGTAGAATCATCGTCGTTCTTCTGGGGGTCGAACGCCCACAGCCAAAGACATCAGCCTTTAAGTCTTCGTCTCAAGGAAGAACGTGAACTTCTTAATCTTGGGTACAATGTCTTCGGTTCCCTTCTCCTGCTGAGTCGCTCTTCTGGCACCACTGGCGGCTCTGGTGTGGTGTTCACACAGGCTGTTCATTGTTCTTCTTATAGGCCTCGATCTTGCTGTTGTCGAACAGTGGCTGATGACCAGTCTGTGATGGGAAAGGTTACTTCATTAAGTCGATATGATGTCACATAATTATACACCTTTATAATCGTATATGAAGCTTTAAAAAAACATAAGGACAAATGGAACTTGTATAAAAAAAAAAAAATGCGAATGCGTAAAGATTGTTCTCATGAGCGGATACTTTGTGGATACCTGGAGGGAGAGAAGGTACCCATAGTAGCCGCCACCTTGCCCAGGGTCAGATCTCCACGCTGCCTTCCCCACGCTGCCATCACCATGCTGTTGTCTCCACGCTGCCATCACCCAGCTGCCACTCCCACTCTGCCGATGCTACACGTCTCGTGCCATTCTACTGCCTCACACCTGCCTGTTAAGTCAACAACACATAAGCATTATCAAGACGGCTGGCAACGAGATCCTACAAACGTCTACAAATTATAAACTTAATACGACTCTGATTCTCAAATTTGAAGGTGAAGCAAAGTGTGTTGAGCACAAGACACCAGGTGATGGTGAGGAACCATCACCTCATTATGGCTTTGTCCGTTCTCTCAGTTCAGCTTTTATCATCACCTAATATGTTATGACACGAGCTGACCGACAGACCGACCACACAGTAAATTAGCATCAACCCTTTGTAACCAGGATATAGCTTCCAATCACGTTGACTAGACGGTAGAGCGACGGTCTCGCTTCATGCAGGTCGGCGTTCAATCTCCGACCGTTCAAGTGGTTGGGCACCATTCCTTCTCCCCGTCCCATTCCAAATCCTTATCCTGACCCCCCTTCCAAGTGCTATAAAATCGTAATGGCTTGGCGTTATTCCCTGATAATAATAATAATTGCTCTCCTGGAGAGTCAGGTGTTTATTACTGGACCTTCGAGGACTATATACGCAGTTTTAAATACGGGTGGAAGTACCCAGGAGTTACAGCCCCGCTCCTGTGCCAGGTAAGTCCACTACGGGCTCACTATAGCCCGTGCTACTTGGAAGTAGCTACTTGGCTACTTCCGAGTAGCTGAATCTAAAACAACTAGTGGAAAGCGTCACCTGGTGTAACATGAGGGTTGAAGGGCCTGCTGCTGCTGCTGCTGCTGCTGCTGGGGTTGCTGGTAATGCTGTTCCTGGTGGAGGTGGTATGGTTGCGGCTGCTTTTTTCTCTTGGGCTGTTGATAGTGTTGTTGCTCCTCCTGTTGCTCCTGATGCTGCAAGTAGACCTTCTGTTGCTTTTTCTGTAGTTTCTGTTGAGGCTGCTGGTAATGCTGTTGATAGGAAGGTTGCTGCTCTTGATGCTGTTGGTAAGGGTTCACTTGCTGATTCTGGTAGTGTTGGTGCTGCAGAGGCTGCTGGTAATGCTGTTGACCATTTTGCTGCTGCTGCTGCTGCTCCTCCGGCTGCTTGAGGTGCTGGGACTGGAGCCGCCGCGTCTTAGGGGAAGCGAACGTTGCGGGGGATCCTGGCGGACCAACGCCAGCACAGTGTTGGGAAAGCAATGTCCAGTTAGTACAGTCTCATGGAGGATTGACGGCACGAGTGTAGATTATTGTTTTGGAAATAAACTAGCAATACAATAACATCTTTCAACGCTTTCCCCTGCACCATCCCTCATTATAATAATATACATTATATATATATATACATATATATATATATATATATATATATATATATATATATATATATATATATATATATATATATATATATATATATATATATATATATATATATACATACAATCTTCGTCCAAGGTAACGTGGACTACTATTAATGAGAGTACAAATTTGACTACAAAAATACAGTGAAACGTTTAAAGTTAGGCGCTAATTTACATGGAATATTATCAGTAACGTTAGAAGTAGTGAGAAATTCCACTGGGACTACAGGTGGACGTGAACCTGCGACCCGGGCATTGCTAAGCCGTGTACTCTACCACTAGACCACCAAGACTTTTGAAAGTCATACAACCTGATTCCTACTGAAATCACAGGAAATCTGAAGGCTCCTACTGAAGCCAGTCCAAGGTTTTTCACCCGAGTGCTTGTGGGTCATACGTAAAAAGTTAGACTGCCTTCAGTAGGGCCTGCCAGACTTCCTGTGATTTCAGTAGAAATCCGGTTCTATAACTTTCACAAGTCTTAGTGGTCTAGTGGTAGGGTATGCGGCTTGGCAATGTCAGGGTCGCTGGTTCGCGCCCTCCTGTAGTCCCAGTGGATTTTCTCATTGATACACATCACGTTAATATGACTTGTGTGATTAAAAGAACTATTTTTATGCTTCAGCACAATAAATTGTCATCAACACTTCATGACAAAAAATTGATAATATTGAAAATGACAGCAGTGACGCAGCTGAAAGTTAACTGATGTATCGGAGGTAAACTGCAGTCAAACGGTGTGAATAGAGTCTATGACAAGTTTAAGAACTATATGGCAATTGTGTGATATCAGGACAATGTGATAGAGTGTGTGATGACAATGTGATAGACTTATACAATGTGTTACATTGTGTAATTCTGATGTGTAGCTGCTATATTATCATGTTTTGATGACGGCTGGGAATAGTGCATGACTTGTGACAGCTAATGACACGCTGTTGATGGGGGTTGAGAGTTGTGCATGACATGACAACTGTATGGCATCATGATTATAGTCTAAAGTGCCTACAGTTATGACAGCTGAGTGACATGTTGATGACGGTTGGGAGAGAGTAACAAACCTACTGGTCCTGAGGTGTCTGGGGGGGCGGCGGTGATTGGGGGGCGGGTGGGGGAGATCGTCATGAGGGGTCATCACCCCCCCGTAGTGTTCGGCCCGACACGTCTCGTACGGCACCCCGACCCCCGAACTCCGACTCTCCACCTCGCTCTGTAAACATTCAACAGCATCATCTAAACAAGCCATCAATGGACTGTCTCTTTATCAGCTGATACATCAACATTTACAAACAACGACAACAATTGGGCAACATTGATGGCCACACAACAATCACAGAATTCTATTCACTACATTATGCCATTATATTATTATATTCATCAACACATTATAAAACAAAAGGTCACAGAAACGCAACAACATTCACAGCCAGGCATCAGTATTCACAAGACACCCCACCAATTAAAACAAAAAATTACAGTAAGATATCAATATATCACTTGACAAGGTAAGTAAGCTGATTAATATCAAACTTCCTAAATTAAGAGTGAGGAGCCTGGAAATCCAGGCTCCTCACTCTTACTTGGTCAACCTTAACTAAGGAAAAGGAGAAATATGATTGACAAGATGAGATGAACTTGTCTCATTTCCTTCCTGGCATCACATGTTAAAGAGAGAACTTTTGTAGCTTATAAGCTGTTAAGCTAGAAGGTGAGGCGGCTAGCTGGTGGGCCAAAAGTAACTTAAGTTTGAAAAGGGACATATAGTCTGGTAGACCATAAGATAACAAGGTGACGCCCCACGTTGCCCATAGAGGTCACTGAGCGACAGTAGACGTCACCGCATCAGTCTGTGGCTTACAGTCGTCACCAGAAACATTATAAAGCTGATGATAGCCAGCACCGCCCAGTAGGACATTGTTGTCAATAATAATCTGGCGCTGGAAAACACCTTGGCGTCCATCTCACCCCTTCACTCCCCGTGTGCCGTCGTCACTATGGTAGGAGCATCAACACCTTACTTACTAGGCCAGGGAGGACTAGGTATTACATGCATAGGAGTTAGATACGCCATAGAGAAGTAGATTAGCGTAAGCGAGGGAGCCTGGTAGATCATAACTTAATGAGTCAGGAGGCTGAGGGAGGCAGTGAAGCCCAAACTTACTAAGTTAGGGGAATCAACGTCATGAAGGGAAGGCGCCTGGTATACAAGGGCGGTGAAAGCCTTCTGGCCGCGAGGTTGTGGGTGGAGGGCGTGTGTGGGCGGTGAGGGCGGGGCGGGAGGTGGAGGGCTGCCCCCGCCCATCTGGAAGGTCGCTGTGGCGTAAGGGTAGAGGTCCTCCTCGCTGTACTCTCCTGCAGGAGGAACCAAGACACACTGTCAGGGGGGGGGGGCAGTGCTAACACTGGGAAAATGTCAGGATTTAGTCCAAATCAGGTAGGATACCAGGATATAAGGTAACGCAGGTAGGATACCAGGATATAAGGTAACGCAGGTAGGATACCAGGATTTAAGGTAACGAGGATAATAGTGTTAGAACCACGTAGGATATGTGGGTCAAGGCAATCCCCGGTAGGATTCCAGGGTCAGGATCACCCCTCAGGTGATGCATAGTCAACAGCCCAGTTTTAGAATTAAAATTTTAAAGATCTTGGATAAGATCAATTTAAAACTCGTAATTGGAATGGATTAGTCAAATATGGGCTAGCGAGTTAACAATGCGAACTCTTGGCACCAGAAATGTTCAAGAAATAATGGTAATTGGGGTTTTGAGTAAAAGATTAAAACTCGTCTGAAGACAAGAAGCAGGTGTCTGTGGTTACTTAAAGTCAAGAGGGACAGGTTTTGTGTGCTTGAAGGCAAGAAGCAGCAGTTTACAAGAGGCGTGACAGCAAGACTCAGCTGCTTGTGGAAGAGAGGAGAACACGTGTAAACATCCACATAATGACGCAAGAACAGCAAGAGTACCGGTGTTGTCTCTGAGGTCCTGCTGCTGCTGCTGCTGGGGAGGCGTCGGTGCCGGCCTCCTGACGGTCGTGTACACGTCGTCCCTCGCCTGCATAGCCGACGCCTTCTCCTCGCCCGCGTCCGTCGCTGCCTCAGGAACCTCCTTCTGCGACAGTGTGCTGACGGGACCTGGTCGTACAGCAATATATTAACACTGCTTTTCCATTCCCTTCAATACAAAATTGTCAATATATTCCAGTTTTCTCACAACTGTTATTCTTATTTTATATATCAACAAAGGTAATGATGACATACAATATGCGATTAAATAACATTACACAAAAAAATCACATTGATGTATCAATGAGAAAATCAGTAAGAGCCACAAGGAGGAGTTGAATCTATGCTCTTTGTGTTCCAGAACAAACGCCTTAGATGGTAAAAAAAATGCAACCTGGGATTTAACTGAATCATTTATTAAGGTTTCTGAGGCTTCCACTGAAGCCTAATGAGGGTTTAACACACTCCCCCCCCCCACCCATGCACTCTGGGGCTTTGCAGTCTAGAAATTCTACCTCCAACGCTTCCAATGCACAAAGAAAATTGTACATATATAAATTTGTGGAATATATTAGTGATTGAGGGAAATGTATGCACTCGATGGCGAGGGCCTCTACTCGGACCTCTTAGTAGTAACCATCATAGATTGGTTAGTACCAAGAGATTGGTTAGTACCAAGAGATTGGTTAGTACCAAGAGATTGGTTAGTACCAAGAGATTGGTTAGTACCAAGAGATTGGTTAGTACCAAGAAATTGGTTAGTGCCAAGAGATTGGTTAGTACCAAGAGATTGGTTATTACTAAACAAAAATGGGGCCAGAAGAGGATACTGACGCTTCCTGAGGCAGACGCAGACGGTGGTGAGGGTGAGGAGGAGCGCCAGACCCGACACGGCTCCCGGCACCACCACCCGCGGGTCCCGCCACACCGGACCGCTGGAGGCCTGGCTGCCCCACACGCCCCCGCCCGCGCCCGCACCCGCGCCTCCTGGGGGGGGGAGAGGGAGCCGTGTAGGACGCTGACTGCTGCTGGACACTCATGCTGGCGTAACTATTAACAGTTGCGTGTTAATGGGTGTGGTGAGAGTGGGCGTACCTGTGTGGGCGTAGGCGGGCGTGGTGACGGTGTACTGGGCGGGCGTGGCTCCAGCAGAGTTGTGGGCGGTGACTCTCAGCTGGTAACGGCCGCCCGCCTCCAGGCCGCCCACAGCGAAGGTTCGGCTGGGCGGCACCTCACTCCCCACTGCCGGAAACACCAGTGTAAACATTATACATTGTTTACATTGGCATTGTTTACATTGGCTTCATCAATTACATTGATAACCCCAAGGTAAACACGAGTTTACCTTGGGTATATTCTAAGTTTACGTTGAGTTTATACAGGGTTTACATTGAGCTTATACAGGGTTTACACAGAATTGCATTAGCAAATTTCTTCACGAAAAATGTTCAAGAATTGACTTCAAGTAAGTAATTATCAAACCGGGACTCGCCTGTGGGGGCCAGGAGCGTCTCACCTGTGGTCCAGGAGCCTCACCCGGGGTCCAGGAGCCTCACCTGTGGTCCAGTGGGCGGTGATGTCCCGGCGGTACTGGACGCTGAAGTGGGTGATGGGGCAGCCGCCGTCGCCCCACTGGGCCAGGTACAGCGTCGCCTGCGAGCTGTTGGTCGTCACGAACTGGAACTGTGGCGGCGCCTCTGGAGGACGACCTTTGGTGCGGGCCGCTTCCGTCGACGACACCGAACTCGTGCCTGTAGACGACCGTATACCCGTCCATAACCCGTCTACCACTATACACTCTGCCATAACTCGTCTATCATATACCCATCCATAACCCGTCAATCACCATTTACCCGTTTAATGACAGGTATCTAACAGCCCGTCCTCCTAAACAAAGCAACTTGTCCTCAGACCACGTCCATTCCATCCAGCGGTCGACCCCAAAAACGCATTCACCAATTTTAACATTATGTTCATTCAAAACAGGAACTTTCTCAAATATAAATAAATAATGTTATATATTAGTATATTATTCATATTTATCCCGCGTTTCGGTTAGGTTAGGTGTTTAGGATCTGTTGGTGATTATTTGTATTTGTAGTACGTTGATGAAGCATTTACAGCGTTGTGGTTCGAAAGAGTCGTCAGCGAAGCACTTGTTCCGGAAGTGTTCGGACATCAACAGTTGTGAGTCGTGTGTAAACCGTTTTTCATTCATAAACAGGGGGTTTGGCGGGTGCATGGAATGGACTTTGGGTCTTTGTTTATGAGGACTGGCTGAAGAACAAAAGGTCGTGGGGGGGGGCGAAGAGAGGGGGGGGGGGAAACGAGAGCTAGAGAGTGGGGAGGGTTAGAAGAGCCCATGGCAAGAAGAGGTCCAGGGGAAGAAGAGGTCGAGGGGAAGAAGAGGTCGAGGGGAAGAAGAGGTCGAGGGGAAGAAGAGAGGGGCAGGTGGTGTACTGACCAATGTGGTTGTGGGCAGTGAGGTAGAAGTGGTGTAGCGTCCCACAGCGGAGATCTCTGGCTGTGTAGGACCGCTGCTCCCCGTCCACCGCTGCTCGAACCCACTCCCCGCCAGCAGACCTGTCCGGTACACACACACGTTAAACCCTCTGCTGACACTATGATGGCTTTACTGACACAATGCTGGCACTGTGATGGCCTTACTGACACTATGATGGCCTTACTGACACAATGCTGGCACTGTGATGGCCTTACTGACACTATGCTGACACTATGATGGCTTTACTGACACAATGCTGGCACTGTGATGGCCTTACTGACACTATGCTGACACTATGATGGCTTTACTGACACTATGCTGACACTATGATGGCCTTACTGACACTATGCTGCCACTGTACTGGCACTCAGGATTATACTGTCAATGTACTGGCACCGTCCAGCATTACAACACAGCGCCACCATAAACAACTTAATATGTCAACACTGGGCTCACTCATCACAATGCCCCAAACACAAGGATCAGTTCAGTGCACGAACTTCGTACCGTTGTCGAAGCTGGCGACTGTCTGGCGGACGGCAGCGGGGAAGGGAGGACTTGCCTGTAGTGGAGGGTGGCTCCCTGGAGGGCGGCGCCCCCGTTGTCCTCAACACTCCACTGGACCCTGATGGAGGAGGACGTGGTCTCTGTGACGTGCAGTGACGGCGCTGACGGAGGCACTGTCGGGGAGAGAGGACACAAGGTAGTCACATCATAGGTTCACTCCCCACCAGCAGTCGTGATCCAGCGGGAAATAGCACCTAGGACAATGGCCTAGAGTTCTAGTGTGGACGAGAATGTAGATCATTGGTCTAGAAGACCGGTACTTCGGGCACCTCCGCATGGGGCCTAAAGCTCAAGGCACCAACCTAATGTGGCCGATCACCCAGAGAATTGTCTGACGTGAACCCAGAACATTGTCGCAGTAAGTGGGAATTAACTAATGCCCAGGAATGTTTTATGCTGATGAAATGCAGGTTTATTCTGACCCAACATGGGACCACACTGACCCAACATGGGACCACACTGACCCAACATGGGACCACACTGACCCAACATGGGACCACACTGACCCAACATGGGACCACACTGACCCAACATGGGACCACACTGACCCAACATGGGACCACACTGACCCAACATGGGACCACACTGACCCAACATGGGACAACTCCGACCCACCCCAGGGTTACACTGACCTACCCTGGTGGTTACACTGACCTACCCTGGGGGTTACACTGACCCACCCCGGGTTACACTGAGCTACACTGACCTAGGACGGTGAGGTTGTAGGTGACGGTGTCGCTGCCGTGGTGGTTGGTGGCAGTGCAGGTGTAGCGGCCGCTGTCAGCTCGCTGGACGTCAGCCAGGGTCAGCGTCCCGTCAGGCTGTACCCGGAACCTGTCAGGATACACGAGTTGTACACAAGGTCACCACCTGTACACCACACTACGTGCCTAAGGTCACCACCTGTACACAAGGTTTAATGACAAAATTAATTACAATTTTGCCTAATCGGAGCAATTCAGTTACATCTTTTTACAGTGAGGATAAGGCTATATTATCGTGGAAGGTAAGTAAATTTTCCTAAGAGCCTCGAGTGTGAAGTATACTCCTGTTTTGGGGGTTGAGAGATGGTGGGTCTCAGGGCGTGAGGAAGACACCTGGATTAACCCCTTTTGGTGGGGGGGGGGGGGGGCTAGGAATGGACCCCCTATCGTAGAAAAAGGGAAGGGGTGGGGGTCGATTATGGGGGACTCACCTGTCGTGGGGGTCCGGGATGGGAGTCTTCTGGTGGGTCCAGGTTAGTGTGGGCTCCGGTACGCCCACGGCTCCACACGCCAGACTCACGTCCTCCTTCCACGCCGCCGTCACGTTCCCGCCCACCGCCCACACGCCCGCGGGCACTGTTGACGGCAGAGGGGGAAACCTATTGAGGGGAAATAAATATCCGCCCACACGCCCATAGGGACCGCTGGGGATACAGTGGGCGGCTACAGTGGTCATTTAGCAATACAAGTGAATCAATTAAGAATTGATTATTATAAATAGTTATATATCTTCAGTTACGATATTTAAAAGTATTAGTGCTTTGGAAAGCCTAAATCTCAGCCTCAATGCTGAGTTGTGTTCCTATCTTGTTTTTGTAGTTTATAATACGGTTAGGCTCTAGCTCCAGGGTTCTCTCCCTTCCCCCCGCCAACAGTGGATAGTCTAACATAGCCGGATTCGTCAAGAACTTAACTAAGTACTTACAAGAATTTTAAGCTTGGTCACGAATAACCGGCCCAGTAGGAGGTGAACCCAAGTACACCTCCACACCAGCTTCCACATGGTTAAGGAAACAATTAATCAACGTTCTTGCTTGGCTCTCTCTCTCAAGATTCTCCAATTGAGAATTTGTGAAATAGATTTCAAGACGAAAAACAAGTCATCAGAGCACACACACACTGTGAAGGCTGTTCCCTCATATGCAGGCATAAGATGAATGAAAACACATTCCTCCTTTATAAGTGTCTGACCCTATTAAAAGACTGTAGAACCTCCTTCACCCCCCTCCCCGATGCTCTATTTACGAAACCCAAAGAAGCGTCAAAGAAATACTTATTGGAGGGTTTGAACATGTTTAAACTTAAAGGGGTATTAGAAAATATTTTAGTTTTCTCCAATGTTTTCACCAATGTTTAGTTTTTTACGTCAGGCTGCGAGCAGCCGCGTCCAACAGCCTGGTTGATCAGTCCGGCAACCAGGAGGCCTGGTCGACGACCGGGCCGCGGGGACGCTAAGCCCCGGAAGCACCTCAAGGTAACCTCAAGGTAATGCAGTGGGAATTACACTTATTCACAAGTACTGAATATTTTCTTACATAGTTTTCAGTTTGTATCTTGTCAAGGATGTGAAAATATTTGGAGCTATATGTGTGTGTTTAGGTGGGCGTGTGTCGACGTACACACGACGACGCGTGCGCGTGTCGACGTACACACGACGACGCGTGCGCGTGTCGACGTACACACGACGACGCGTGCGCGTGTCGACGTACACACGACGACGCGTGCGCGTGTCGACGTACACACGACGACGCGTGCGCGTGTCGACGTACACACGACGACGCGTGCGCGTGTCGACGTACACACGACGACGCGTGCGCGTGTCGACGTACACACGACGACGCGTGCGCGTGTCGACGTACACACGACGACGCGTGCGCGTGTCGACGTACACACGACGCGTGCGCGTGTCGACGTACACACGACGCGTGCGCGTACACACACGTGTGCGCGTGTCGACGTACACACGACGCGTGCGGGTGTCGACGTACACACACGTGTGCGCGTGTCGACGTACACACGACGCGTGCGGGTGTCGACGTACACACACGTGTGCGCGTGTCGACGTACACACGACGTGTGCGCGTGTCGACGTACACACACGTGTGCGCGTGTCGACGTACACACGTGTGCGTGCCGACGTACCCGTGTGCGTGTCGACGTACCCGTGTGCGTGTCGACGTACCCGTGTGCGTGTCGACGTACCCGTGTGCGTGTCGACGTACCCGTGTGCGTGTCGACGTACCCGTGTGCGTGTCGACGTACCCGTGTGCGTGTCGACGTACCTGTGTGCGTGTCGACGTACCCGTGTGCGTGTCGACGTACCTGTGTGCGTGTCGACGTACCTGTGTGCGTGTCGACGTACCTGTGTGCGTGTCGACGTACCTGTGTGCGTGTTGACGTACCTGTGTGCGTGGGCTTCACCACAGTGACGCTGCTCGACGGACCTTCCCCCATCCTTGTCGACGCTGTCACCCAGACCTGACGGAGGAACCTTGTTACTATTTTTGTCGATTACCCGTACACTCACCTAGTCACTCACCTAGTCACTCACCTAGTCACTCACCTGGTCACTCACCTGGTCACTCACCTGGTCACTCACCTAGTCACTCACCTGGTCACTCACCTGGTCACTCACCTAGTCACTCACGTAGTCTCTCACCTACACAGTTATTCACCCACTTAGAACATCTGCTATTCAAGGTTAGCATTATGATATTTTAAAGCCTTTTATACCGTCTAATCAGAAACGTCCTTTGTTAGTTTAAGGATTTATTAACTGGAGGCTCCGCTCACCTACTGTAGATGCTGACGCGGAAGATCGCATCTTATAGCCAGTCAGATGCGAGGGCACTGGCGAGACCAATTGTGTATTGATCACGACATCAGAGATATCATATTACTGACCCCCACCTCATTCTCTCACTGACTTTTAGGGGGAACTGGATTTATCAAGCATGTACGAAACCTGTGCATCTTGCCTCAAGCAGGGTCGGTTTTTGTTTAGATTTATTAAACTGTGTATGAGCTTCGAAATTCTTCGAAATGACTTGCCTCATGACCCCACCTGACCTGGAAGGTCAGGTGGAGGTACTGACCTGGTGTGTGGTGTGAGGCAGGTCATGGAAGGTCAGGTGGAGGTACTGACCTGGTGTGTGGTGTGGGGCAGGTCATGGAAGGTCAGGTGGAGGTACTGACCTGGTGTGTGGTGTGGGGCAGGTCATGGAAGGTCAGGTGGGGGTACTGGCCTGGTGTGTGGTGTGAGGCAGGTCATGGAAGGTCAGGTGGAGGTACTGACCTGGTGTGTGGTGTGGGGCAGGTCATGAAGGGTGAGGTGGGTGAGGTGGGGCTCCACACGCCGGCTGTGGGGGCCGCCCCGCCCACCAGCCGGCTCCCAGTGCACAGTGTAGCGGCTGATACGCCCATGTGGGCGTGTGGGCGGCGCCCACGAGATCACGGCCGCCCTTGGACCCGACACCACCGCCTTCACGCGGGCCGGCGCCTCTGGCACTGTGAACAACAACGGAATGTACAGAGTGAATATTATTGGCTCCAGGCACCTGTAGGTAGAGGCACTCGACCCTCTGGCCTGTAGGTAGAGGCACTCGACCCTCTGGCCTGTAGGTAGAGGCACTCAACCCTCTAACCTGTAGGTAGAGGCACTCGACCCTCTGACCTATAGGTAGAGGCACTCGACCCTCTGACCTGTAGGTAGAGGCACTCGCCCTCTGACCTGTAGGTAGAGGCACTCGACCCTCTGACCTGTAGGTAGAGGCACTCGACCCTCTGACCTGTAGGTAGAGGCACTCGACCCTCTGACCTGTAGGTAGAGGCACTCGACCCTCTGACCTGTAGGTAGAGGCACTCGACCCTCTGACCTGTAGGTAGAGGCACTCGACCCTCTGACCTGTAGGTAGAGGCACTCAAACTACTGGAAATATTGTCAAACTTTCTCAGCGATAATTAGGAATATTTTGGGTAATTTTGAACACCAACATTGGTACTGACAGTCCTTGGCCGAGGCCGAGCTTACCGTCCTGGCCGAGCTTACCGTCCTGGCCGAGGCCGAGCTTACCGTCGTGGCCGAGGGCGAGCTAACCGTCCTGGCCGAGGGCGAGCTTACCGTCCTGGCCGAGGGCGAGCTTACCGTCCTGGCCGAGGGCGAGCTTACCGTCCTGGCCGAGGGCGAGCTTACCGTCCTGGCCGAGGGCGAGCTTACCGTCCTGGCCGAGGGCGAGCTTACCGTCCTGGCCGAGGGCGAGCTTACCGTCCTGGCCGAGGGCGAGCTTACCGTCCTGGCCGAGGGCGAGCTTACCGTCCTGGCCGAGGGCGAGCTTACCGTCCTGGCCGAGGGCGAGCTTACCGTCCTGGCCGAGGGCGAGCTTACCGTCCTGGCCGAGGGCGAGCTTACCGTCGTGGCCGAGGGCGAGCTTACCGTCGTGGCCGAGGGCGAGCTTACCGTCGTGGCCGAGGGCGAGCTTACCGTCGTGGCCGAGGGCGAGCTTACCGTCCTGGCCGAGGGCGAGCTTACCGTCCTGGCCGAGGGCGAGCTTACCGTCCTGGCCGAGGGCGAGCTTACCGTCCTGGCCGAGGGCGAGCTTACCGTCCTGGCCGAGGGCGAGCTTACCGTCCTGGCCGAGGGCGAGCTTACCGTCCTGGCCGAGGGCGAGCTTACCGTCCTGGCCGAGGGCGAGCTTACCGTCCTGGCCGAGGGCGAGCTTACCGTCCTGGCCGAGGGCGAGCTTACCGTCCTGGCCGAGGGCGAGCTTACCGTCCTGGCCGAGGGCGAGCTTACCGTCCTGGCCGAGGGCGAGCTTACCGTCGTGGCCGAGGGCGAGCTTACCGTCCTGGCCGAGGGCGAGCTTACCGTCCTGGCCGAGGCCGAGCTTACCGTCCTGGCCGAGGGCGAGCTTACCGTCCTGGTCGGTGGTACAGACGATGGCGTGGGACTGGATGCCTTCGCCTGCCCTGGTGGCGGCGGCGACGGTGAGGGAGTAGTTGGTCCAGGGGGCGAGTCCCCCCAGGGTGGCCCTCTGGCCCTCCGACACCACGCTGCCACTCCGGCCTCCACCTGTGGCACACATGACACCTCGTCAAGCGACCTACCAACACCTTTAAGGACAACAGTCCCGCTAACATAAGACATTATCAACAATATGCTTCAACACCTTGAGACGCCTCAACCAAGTGACTCTCCCAGTTATGACCAGGTATAAGGAAGGGTAATAAAGGAATGAGCGGAGGAGCTCAGTATGACCCAACGAGCTTAGTCAACGGAACTCACCGTGGGAGGAAGGGATTCACCGTGGGGGGAAGGGGAGGCAGGGGACTCACCGTGGGGGGAAGGGGAGGCAGGGGACTCACCGTGGGGGGAAGGGGAGGCAGGGGACTCACCGTGGGGGGAAGGGGAGGCAGGGGACTCACCGTGGGGGGAAGGGGAGGCAGGGGACTCACCGTGGGGGGAAGGGGAGGCAGGGGACTCACCGTGGGGGGAAGGGGAGGCAGGGGACTCACCGTGGGGGGAAGGGGAGGCAGGGGACTCACCGTGGGGGGAAGGGGAGGCAGGGGACTCACCGTGGGGGAAGGGGACTCACCGTGGGAGGAAGGGGAGGCAGGGGACTCACCGTGGGAGGAAGGGGAGGCAGGGGACTCACCGTGGGGGGAAGGGGAGGCAGGGGACTCACCATGGGGGGAAGGGGAGGCAGGGGACTCACCGTGGGAGGAAGGGGAGGCAGGGGACTCACCGTGGGGGGAAGGGGAGGCAGGGGACTCACCGTGGGGGGAAGGGGAGGCAGGGGACTCACCGTGGGGGGAAGGGGAGGCAGGGGACTCACCGTGGGAGGAAGGGGAGGCATGGGACTCACCGTGGGAGGAAGGGGAGGCAGGGGACTCACCGTGGGGGGAGACGTGAACGTAATAAACACGGTAGTTGATGACGACACCGTTCCTGTGACGTGGGGGGGGCGGCGCCCACGTCACCACCACACTTGATGACGTCACACTCTCACACGTCACGTGACCAGGCGGCGAACTCGGCTCTGTACGAACCACACAAAAGAGTTACTAATTAACAATTTAAAAAATTAATAATTTCACAAGTCTTGTCCTCAAACTTACTCAGAACTTCCTTCCGTCAGTCAGCAAATAGTTTTAATTGAAAAGAAACTCCGATTTACAAGAAATCCTGTTGTTATGAAGTAATTTATAAGTAACTGATTTATTATCGACTGATTTATTATTAACCGATTTATTAAGTCGACTTATTATTAACTGATTTATTAAGTCGACTTATTATTAACTGATTCTAGCGATTGTTTCATCCTGTCATTAACCTGATCCAGGTTTGTTCTGAACCTGTCTCCATTCTCGACAAACTTCCCCTTCACCACAGCCTGCACCACGCAGCCTGCACCACAGCAGCCACACAGCCTGCACCACACAGCCTGCACCACACGGCCTGCACCACAGCATCCACACAGCCTGCACCACAGCAGCCACACGGCCTGCACCACAGCAGCCACACGGCCTGCACCACACAGCCTGCACCACACGGCCTGCACCACAGCATCCACACAGCCTGCACCACAGCATCCACACAGCCTGCACCACAGCAGCCACACGGCCTGCACCACAGCAGCCACACAGCCTGCACCACAGCAGCCACACAGCCTGCACCACACAGCCTGCACCACAGCAGCCACACAGCCTGCACCACACAGCCTGCACCACACGGCCTGCACCACAGCAGCCACACAGCCTGCACCACAGCAGCCACACAGCCTGCACCACACAGCCTGCACCACACGGCCTGCACCACACGGCCTGCACCACAGCAGCCACACAGCCTGCACCACAGCATCCACACAGCCTGCACCACAGCAGCCACACAGCCTGCACCACAGCAGCCACACAGCCTGCACCACAGCAGCCACACAGCCTGCACCACAGCAGCCACACGGCCTGCACCACAGCAGCCACACGGCCTGCACCACAGCAGCCACACAGCCTGCACCACAGCAGCCACACAGCCTGCACCACAGCAGCCACACGGCCTGCACCACAGCAGCCACACGGCCTGCACCACACAGCCTGCACCTCACGGCCTGCACCACACAGCCTGCACCACAGCAGCCACACAGCCTGCACCACAGCAGCCACACGGCCTGCACCACAGCAGCCACACGGCCTGCACCTCACAGCCTGCACCTCACAGCCTGCACCTCACAGCCTGCACCACACGGCCTGCACCTCACAGCCTGCACCACACGGCCTGCACCACACAGCCTGCACCACAGTAACCACACGGCCTGCACCACAGCAGCCACACAGCCTGCACCACAGCAGCCACACGGCCTGCACCACAGCAGCCACACGGCCTGCACCACAGCAGCCACACGGCCTGCACCACAGCAGCCACACGGCCTGCACCACAGCAGCCACACGGCCTGCACCACAGCAGCCACACGGCCTGCACCACAGCAGCCACACAGCCTGCACCACAGCAGCCACACGGCCTGCACCACACAGCCTGCACCACACGGCCTATATCCACCTCACGCCCACAACTCACTGTCCTCCAGCGTGGTGGCGAGGGCGGGCGGGGAGGCGGGTCCGGCGCCCTTGGAGTTGAAGGCCTGAAGGACCACGGCGTAGCGGGCGTGCGGGCGGAGGCCGGCCAGGGTGGCGCTGGTCACGCCCACTCCATCCACGCCCACCGTCGTGAAGTTGTACGCCCCGCCCTCACCCTCGCTGTCGGGAGAGGGGAGAGGTGAGCCAGGTGTGAAGGGGAGAGGTGAGCCAGGTGTGAGGGGAGAGGTTTTCAGGTGTGTGTAACCTACACTTAAAACAATTGAACGATTGTTCCCCAAAAACACCTTTTCTATTTCCAAACCAGTATTTACCCAGGTCTTTCCTCAATGTAACTTACCTAAATGATATCCCTCGTTAGGTGTTAAATTTTGTGTTGTGGATGTATTTAACACCTTATTAACATCTGCTTTGCTATGCCCTTTCATCCATTATAATTCAATCATATTATTTATCGCCTTTCTAGGGAATGTAAAATTAGAATTTTTAGTCCTCTTTATAAGGAATGTTTCTAAGCGAAATTTAAACCAATCTGTAGGAGTTCAAAATTGAACTACATAATTTAAACGAGGCTTAATAAGGGCAAGAGAAAACTGAAGAATAATAGACGTCTTATTGCAAACACTTCTAGAAATAAATCTTAGTACCCTAATTGCTTCATTCCGTACATTTATGATATAATATTCTGGGAGAGTTTGTCACGGGGTTGTACCCAAAGGGTAAGATTTGTTAACCGTTTGAGAGGGAATACAATTACCGTGGGAGAGGGGCTCACCTGGCGTCCTTGAAGCCCAGGTAGTAGCCGAGGACCTCTCCGTGGGTGAGGTTGTGGGGTGGGGGGTCCCAGGACACCTGTAGCGCCGTCGACGACATCGCCAACACCTGTCATATACAGAACACTTGTTACATCAACACCTGCCTGTTACACCTATCCATCTGGACAGCCTGTTATATATGGACATCAGTGTGACGCCTACGTTATTGCACACCTGTAAATCATCAGGGAACCTGTATCCTGCTACGATACCTGTCACTCTTGTTCATCCACATCTGGTACATCTGTATGCCAATATGCTGCACCTACACTCTATCACACACACACACACACACACACACACACACACACACATTTCCATTATAGATATACGTGTATATCTATCTGTTCAACATTAGCCCCCAGACACTTGGGGATTTTTTCAGTAAATAATGTTATATAAATGGCCAAAAATGGGCGGATCGGAGTTGCCATTAAATAAAATATGATATTGTGCCAATCCTAACCGCCCCTCCCCCCCCCCCCTGTCACTGTGAACTTTTCAGTATTATAAATAGACCCAGAATTATTTCTATTTCTTTTTTCTTCTTTGTATATTGTAAAACATCATGCAGTGATGGCCACAAAATTCTAAACAAATTATATCATACTTTGCCCCGTAATTAGCAGTAACATGCAAGAGGCGGTGCTTGGGATGCAGCCCCGGGGAAGGTGATGCTCTTAAGAGTCCGTGTGTTGTGAGAGGAAGAGGGGGGGGGGGAAGAGGAAGGATAACACATCCACTCCTGACAAACTGTGATGTGGGAGAGAGGGAGAGAGAGACAGAGAAACAGACAGAAAAAGGCAAACAAAAAGATGGATATAGACAGACAGATATAGAACGAATGTTCTGACATGCGCTAGAATAGAGTATAAATCTGCATTTATTATCGTTATTTATCATAATATTCTTGAACTTATTTTTAGTGGAGTGATGCCGGGTCGACCCGAGTACCCGAACGATCCGCTCACTGGATCTACCTGGGCAGCGCTAGGCACCACATCAAGTATATACATAAAGGCAGACGAGCGCAGCGAGAAAGAGATTTACTAACAATAACGTTCTGGGGGCTGGCTGACGGGGGCTCCTCCTGCGTGCTGACACGTAGAGGGGCTGACGGCTGACTACGCCCCACACGATTCTCAGCCACCAGCGTCAGGGTGTAGGTTGTGGCGGGCAGGAGACCCTCCAGCCGCACCTTCTGCTGCTCCCCCTCCACCGTCACCTCTCGAGGACCACCTGCAGCACGGAAGAAAGACAGGGATTAAATGAACAAATCCACAAGGGCCGTGACGAGGATTCGAACCTGCGTCCGGGAGCATCCCAGACACTGCCTTAATCGACTGAGCTACGACAGGGTTCATTTTATGCATCACATTATTGTGATCTCTGGGTGTGGCAGGGATTAGTCATGGTGCTGGGATTAACTACGTAACCAAATGTGCTTAAGAAGTACAATAAGTGACATATTTCAAGCAAGGAAGAGGAGAACGGGCTGACTGCATCTTACAAGGCTGCCAGAATGACTTTAATTGTGTACCACCTATAGAAGGCTTCTACACAAATTCAAAGAATATGTAGTAACGGGAAGAGCTTTGAAATTGGTGAAAGAATACCTGTCAAAAAGAAGGCCTAGTGCTTCAGTGAGAGGGAAGATATCAGGATGGGTGATAGTGACTAGCGTAATGTCTCAAGAAACAGTACTGAGGCCGAACCTGTTCCTTCAATGTGCTAATGATCTGACCCAAGGAAGAAGACTCGTACTTGCGAATGTTGGTAGATGATGCCCAAAAAAATTAACAATAAGACGGTTAAGAAGTGCAGAATACTATATGATGAATTGCCTGAACTGCAGGAATGTTCTAAAAGCTGGCTACTTATCTTCAATCAAAGTAAATGCAAGGTGATGAGAGAAGCAGAGGGAAAGATGAGAACAGCAGGCCAGTTCCCAAAGAAGGGAAGGCAGCTATACTCCACAATAAGGGAAGGTATCTCGAGTACACATTGAACAGAAGGAAGGTCCATTCCACAATAAAGAGAAAATTGTACGGTCGTAGACAGAGGCTCATGTAAACAGAATAACATCAGCGACATTTGAAAATCTGACACACACCCTTCTAGTTTTCAGGAATTTTGACAAAAAGGCTAAAAGAGTTTTACACATTATAAATGTTTTGTCATGTGAATCCGGCATGGAGTTCCTATTAAAAAAACAAAAACAAAAAAGCCCGAATTCAGAGACTTGCCAGACGACGGGTTCCAGAACAAAGAGGACTGAAAAGAAAAAAATAGGACTGAAGGAACTGGAGCTTATTATTGCATCTCACAAGAGACCGGAAAAATAAGACATGATTGCGTCATATAAGATCTTAAGGGGGGTATTGACAAGGCAGGTACAGACGAAATTAAACACGGACACCAGCATAACAAGAGGTCATGCCTGGGAGGCTAATATATGGCCGAGCCGAAGGAATATATGATGAATGATGTAGAGGCGACATACTCGGTGGTCGACGTTGATACGCTACAAAATTGTAAAAAATAAATACACGATAGGAATCTAGCGAGTCGGGTGGGCTCTGGCCAATGATAATAGAGCAGGAATAAACTGTACTGGAGGGAAAGAAGACGGGGGGTGCCAAGGGACATGACTGCGATATGCAAGATTCTTGTGGATCCTGAAAAGTTTAACAAAGACAAAATCATTCATTCTTCCTGACACCAGAATATGGAGTAACAAATTAAATCCTGAGCTCCCAAATGAGGCCAGTATGGTATAACAAGCAATTGATTTGTAGCAAAGACCAACACACACACACACACACACACACCTATTCACCTACCAGGGGACTGCTGGGCGTCGAAGGTGACGAGGTAGGCGGTGATGGGGGCGTTGGAGTCCTGGGGGGGCGTCCAGGTGAGTGTGAGGTGACGTGACCCCTCCTCCACCACCGTCACTCCAGAGGGGGGGTCAGGCACGTCTGGAGAGGGGGGGAAGAAGAGGCACTATAACCAAGCACTCAGACAAGATAACTTCTATGCTTATACGGGTATAAGTATTATACTGTGATCTTTACTGTGACCTTAGGACCTGTAAGAATATTAAGACCTTTTAGAAATATTAAGACCTGCAAGAATATTTGACCTGCAACAACATAACATTATAACCTGTAAGAAATATTAGGACCAGCAGGAACATTAACTGTAAGACTATTAACACCTGTAAGAACATATTAGGACGAGGAGCCACAATAACAATCAATTGTGATTTTTTTATATATATTTACATGCAAAAGCATGACACATAAATACAATAAAAACAAAAGATAAAGAAACAGACCACTAACAAAAGTACAAAGTAACAGAACAAGAAGCCCCAAACCCAACACAAAGACATGAATAACACACAAAGACATAAGTACATAGCAACAAATACACACAGAAAGACAATACACGAGGCAGTCCGAAACGGACACTAAATCACCCACACTATACAGTCAATACATATTTACAATAAAACAAAAACCTGAAGGGCTTACAACATATACAAGAAATTGGAAGGCCTACACATACTTGTCTGGTAACTCAGCCCTAGGATACCTTATACAATACACCTCTCATACCGCCCAGTCCTCCCAGGTAAGGCGACCGCCCGGTGGCGGCGTAGGGCACTGCATAAACTCCGGAATATCACAGACGAAACTTTGTACCCACATAGGCGGCGGGTTTGTCAGTGGCACTGACAAACGCGCAAGAGGCTGCGGTACAGGGGCCGGAGCCGTCGGGGGCATTAACTCACTTTGCCACTGCACATCGGACCGCAGGGCTAGAGGTACAAGCACAGAGCCCAGCCAGCGCACATCCTTCTTGAAGACCACCACTAGGTCACGGGCCTTGCCAGGTACTGCATGAGGGGGCACGGGCTCCCATTCTGGGAGCCCACAGCAGGGGGCACACAGGAGTCAACACACAACTCCCATCACCTGCGCCAGCATCCTCCGCATGACCCTCCGCCACATCATCACCAGGTACCGCCACCTCGCTATCAGAAGACACACAACATGCAAATTCACCCAGTCGGAACTCGCCGAGGGTAAACAAGGCAAAAAACGTATCGCACGCTTAGATCATCGGAACTCTCCGATGATCATCCGGGCTTCTGTTGGATCATCCGGGCGTAGATCATCGGAACTCTCCACAGCCACAGAATTCGAGACTCGTGAGATGCAGGGAGTCCGATCCCTGGCACGCCGCAGGACATCAGTGGCAGTGACAACACGGGGAATTGGGCCAAGTACAGCAGGAGGCCGCGACTCCCCACACTCCACTGGCACTGTAGGCAGGTGCGGCGGGCACCACGAGACAAAAGCCCCATGAGCACAGAGCAAAACAGTCGTAGAAGAGGGAAGCAGAGGGAGGCTGACCCATCGCTCCACACCGGCATGGACAGCACGAACGCAGCCTCAGAACACATATCCGACGACGGCACAGGATTTGGCGCCAGACCCCCATCAGGAGCAGCTGCCCCATCCGACGCACGGAGACACAGCCTCCAAAGACAGGCCAACAGCCACATCCTCCGAAGCGTCTTCAACAGTTAGCAGAGGAAAATCTTCCTCGCAGAATAAATTCACTCTCTCTAGGACGCCTGCAGAGCACCCAGCAGCCAGGTGGCCCAACATCTCACAACGATAACACGTCCGGGGCTGCTGGGCATAGAACACACGGATGTAGAACCCCACGAGCTTGACAGATGATGGGATGTCCGACTTAAGACGCATTTCAAGGGTGCGGATGCCATTTTGAACGCCTCATAAACGACCGGACAAAATGACATTCATCCACACATGCACAACTTAACCAAACTACCCGAAGTACCTCCGCAATATCACTTCGGGGAATTCAATAGGAGCGCAATGAACACTGATGTAGGTCGAAACGTCACTGCGGTAGGAGACAACAACCGACCCAGCGTCCGCCCCTCAAACTGGCACAGAAACACTCGGAAATCCTCGTCAGTAGCCAACTTCACTACTACCCTTTGGGTAGTTAACAGCTCCATCCCACAAACGGCAGCCACATTCAGACCCAGCACATCATACAGCGTCAGCTTTACAGTAAGGTAGTCCACTTTTACTCAAAACTCCAGTCCAACAGACTGAGTCTGCAACACGGGGGGGTAATGCCCCACCCCCTCCCCCACCATCACAGAGCGCACCAAGAAATATTAGGACTAGCAGGTATATTAACTTTAAGACTATTAAGACCTGTAAGAACATATAAATCTTTGGACGTGGGAGCCACAATAACAATCAATTGTGAAGAATCAACAATTGCCAGAAGTCTTACTCAGGCAGTTGACGCTTGACCCGTGATGAGTTTGTTTATATATAACTTTCTTCCTGGGCCGACATTGGTGACTTCAGTGACAGTAGGGCTTCGGATGTTGACAGTGTGGATACGGATGCGTCGATGTCTCCGCGGTTCGTGGTGGCGGAGGTCCATGTGCCTGCCGGTGCTGGTGCCTGTGTCTCGGACGTGCCTTCGGTTCTTTCTCCGCCGGGGGACTCTCCGCAGTGGGGGGTGGTGGCTTCCGCTGCCAGGGATGGTGTGGACTCTGGTGCTGGGCGTGGCCTGGTGGTGACGTTACGGAAGGATGCACGCCGTCCGGGTTCCCTGCTGTCGTCTGGTGGTGTGCCCGGGGCCGCGGGTACCCTTGTGGTGCGGGTGCGCGTTGGGGCCCTGGGGGACGTGTTGCCGGCGTCTGTGATGCCACCGGGTCACTGGTCGAAGATTGCCGAGTTACTGCTGTCTGACGGACCGGAGTGCTTTCGTGGGGGGCAAGTTCCCTTCCTGTGGGGCGAGTGGCGACTTCTCGCCTCATGAGTTCTACCATCTGGGTCCCCAGTTTGCAGGTGTTTGTTGCCCCGGTTCCGGATGTTATGGCGTCCCCGGTGGATGGACGAGACCCTTGGCAATGGGTGCTCTGGGAGGCGTTCAATGTAAGATTCCCGCGGGCCAAGTTCCCGGGCAAGTATGTGCTCTGATTTCTTGCGTATTTGCTCTATGACATGCTGTGTGCCCTTCTGCCTGTTTGTTTGCCCTGTTCTGTTATGTGCTTCTGCCTCTCCCTTTGTGCGTAGCTTTGCCGTGTGGCATATTAGTTTCTAGTGCTTGGCGTCACTCGTTTCGCGTTTTGGCTTAGCATTTCGCCTTTCCTGGCTTTGCGATTCACCCTTCACGGTACGCCGGGGCGCATCCGATCCCACGATCGTCGTCGCCCCTAACTCAACAACAACAACAACAACTCCTCGTCAGTAGCCAACTTCACTACTACCCTTTGGGTAGTTAACAGCTCCATCCCACAAACGGCAGCCACATTCAGACCCAGCACATCATACAGCGTCAGCTTTACAGTAAGGTAGTCCACTTTTACTCAAAACTCCAGTCCAACAGACTGAGTCTGCAACACGGGGGGGTAATGCCCCACCCCCACCCCCACCAACACAGAGCGCACCAAGAAATATTAGGACTAGCAGGTATATTAACTTTAAGACTATTAAGACCTGTAAGAACATATAAATCTTTGGACGTGGGAGCCACAATAACAATCAATTGTGAAGTAATCAACAATTGCCAGAAGTCTTACTCAGGCAGTTGACGCTTGACCCGTGATGAGTTTGTTTATATATAACTCCCAGGGGTCAGTAGACAAGGAATACATCAGTACCGTACCGTGCACCATAAGCACCGTACCATGCACCATAAGCACCGTACCGTGCACCATAATCACCATACCATACACAACAGACACCGTAATGTGCACATGAACATCGTACCATGCACCAAAGACGCAATGCCTCGCACCAAACACACGGTACCATGACCATAAGCACTGTAGACACAGTAACATGCACGATGAGCACCGTGGACACTGTACCTTGGACGAGGAGGTGGAAGTCGGCTGTGAGGGCGCCGTGGGTGTTGGTGGCGGTACACACATAGGTCCCGGAGTCACTGAGGTGGGACGACCTGACCACCAGTTCCGACACCTGGCCCGTCTCCACCTGCCGCTCCGACACCTCGTACCTGTGGGGGTACCTGGTGGGTTAGTACCTGGTACCTGTGGGGGTACCTGGTGGGTTAGTACCTGATGCCTATCGGGGTGCCTGTGGGGTATCTGGTGTGACAGTACCAACATGTACGAGTGGTACATGTTGGATACCTGACCGGCTATGACAATATTAGCTTTCACCACTACTACTACTACTTTTTTTTCATGTTGATAAAAGAAATATACAAAGTATAGCACAATATATACATGACATGAACCTAAGAACAAGAACATAACAACAAAAACATAATCATAAACAGGCATAAAAGAGAACATTACATAACAAGACCCCAGAAACTCCAGGGACACAAGTCCGTATACAAAATTAAACATAATAATGGACATACAACAAACGGACGCATTACAGACATGGAAAGACACAACAAACATACAAAGAATAAACCAGACACACATATATATATATATACAAAATGCACACAAGTAATAAATAACACAAAGCATAAGCACATCGCACACAAATCATATAAGTAACAAAAACAAACCATGGCCAAGGCCCAGGCACTACTATATGACAACCCCAAGAAAGAATCCGGGGCGAACAATGAAACACAGAGATACACGTACCCTAAACAAACACACTACTAGGAAGAACAGCAATCAAACTAACAAAATGAGTAACAAAACAGCCGCATTCAACCCACACAAGACACAAGCAACGGCCCACGCAGGAGCCAACACAGAAGCAAACCCACACTCACACACAACCCCACACACCAAACCGAACACACAACCACAGGAGCAAACACACACACACCCAGCACAACCCCCCCGAGGAGGCCCACCGGAGGGCCGGGGATCTAGGATGAAAACAGACCACTCACCCAAAAGCAACCCCACGCACATACCCACCCGTGAACCAACCACGAAACTCGCTCGGAAACACACGCTGCACCCACCACCACGTGAACCGCAAATGAGCCCTCAAAAACCCCAAAAGCCTAGCAACCCCATAACCCTCCCCCCGACCCACCCACACACAATACACAAAGTCAGCAACAAGAAGACAAAGCGTATTTCGAACACAGCGCGACCTCCGCGGAAAGGACAAAAACAAAAACCTCAAAAGGTCACCCCGACACCCAGGTCCACAAACCCCAACCAACACGTCCCGAAACCAATCAAGCAAACCCCGCAACCGCCCGCAAAAATAAAAGACATGCAACTGTGTCTCAGGGAGACCACAGTGCACACACGCATCAGAGGCACGCAAACCCAGCATGCACAACCGTGCATTGGTCGCCAACGACAAATGCAAGAGCCGAAACAACAATTCCCGCTGTTGCGGAGTCAGAAACCTCCACAGCATGGGGCCACAGCTTACCACCACGCCCGGAGACCGGAGCAGAAGGAGCAGGCCCAGAAAGCGGGAGAGCACACTCCAGCTCACAGGGGGCATCCACCACGGACGCCGAGGCAAGCGCAGCTGACGAACCACTGGACGAGGCGACCTTCGCAGACGACGAGGGAGTCGATGCAGAGTCAGAGGTCAGGGAGGAGGCCACACACCCCACCACCCCAGCATCCCCGGGCAGCAGACAATCTTCAGCAGGGGAAGCAGGCACCACACCAACAGCAGCAGCCGAGGACCGCACAGAAGCCTCCGGCCGCGGATGCACCTCCGCCACCACCGAACGAGGAACCCCCGAGGCAGGAGCTCCCGTTCCCACAGAGCACACCGGGGAAGCAGACGTACTATGTCCCGACCAAACAGGGACAGAAGGAGCACTTGCCGAACCCGCCGCAGGAACCACCCCAGGCACCTCGCCAGGGCGAGAAGGCGACGAGGAAGCCCCCCGCGTCTCCAAAAGGGAGGAAGTCACCCTCCAAGAAAACAGAGGGAGCCTCAGCTCAAGGAGCATCACAGCTCGCTGCCACATGGCCCTCAGCACCACACCGGAAACAAGTGCGAGTCTGTCCCTGATAAAATACTCTGAGCGAGAGCCCACGATACAGAAGACGAGACGGTACCGGTGACGTAATCTTCATACTTAGTGTACGAATGCCCGTACGCAGCCCGCTCAGCCGACCTGTACGCAGATGGTTGAAGCGATGAAACTGCACCACTCCATACTTCTCAAACACAACCTGCAGCTCAACCTCAGATAACGTCACCGGTACACCATGCACGGTTATTGCTGAGGGGCCCTTGGGGCCGTGACGGTCTGCGATCATGGGGGAGCCTGTGCCCCGTGTCTAGAGGCAGGCCTCCATTGGCCTGGAGTTTTCTGGGATTGCTTCATACGACGCTGTGGAGGTGGTAATGATTGATATGTTACGTGTCCCAGTGGAGTCTGTATGTGGTGTGCAGCTGCTCGCCGGCCGGCGGGCGATAGTCAAGTTCAACTCTCCGGCGATTTATCAAGATATCGTCACGCGCTATGATGGGCGCTCTTTCGATCTTCCTGAGGATGGTGGGTCGGTAACCCTATCCGACCGTTGTGGAGCCACGACGTATGTGGCTGTGCATGGGATGCCTTTTGAGTTCCCTGAGGATCTTCTACGTAGGTACTTTGCCCGGTTTGGGCGGGTTCTACATGTGAGGATGAATGCTGTCCCTACCGGGAGATGGAAGGGGGTTCCGTGTGGGACCCGCACTCTCGCCATGCGCCTCCGGGGTTCTGTGCCGTCCTCCATCATGCTGTTAGGGTTCCTGATTCGTGTTTTTCACGCAGGACAACCTCGGACTTGTTTCCGGTGCGGCCTGCCGGGTCACCTGGCCGCCGGGTGTGAGGAGCGCCGGGTCACCCCTGTCAACCTTTTCCAGGAGGAGGATTTTCCCCCGCTGTCGGCCCCGGACCTGTCTCCCCGTGATGGTCAGGACGTTGCTTCCCTGCTGGTTTCGACCCCGGTGTTGGATGGTGGTGTGGATGTTGACTTAGGGGTTGTGGCGGCCTCGCCCCCGTCACCAGCTTCCCCGCCTTCGACGTCCCTGCCCCTGTCGCCCCTGCCCGCTCCGTCTCAGCTGCCCGTGCCTGCTCCGTCCCTACATGTGGCGTCTCCTGTCCCTTGGGATGTTAGCGGCGGGGAGTCTCCTGTGGTGTGTGGTCCAGTGCCCCCGGTCGTGGAGGCTGCGGTTCTCAGGGGCCGGGCCTTGAAAGCGCGTCCATTGGAGTGTTCTACTGTGTTACGGGATGATGGGGGTGATAGCTTGGATGACCGGCAGCCTGTCTCCAAGCGCTCAAGGCAGGTCCGGAGTGTGTCCCCCCTTCGTGGGGTGCCTTGGGTGGAGGTGGAAGAATACGTTGTTCCGACGTCTCCTGTCGTGGTTGGCGATGCTGTGGGGGGCTCTGTGCTGCCTCCGGAATCACCCCTATACCTACTGCTGATGACTCCCCTCGGTGGGAGGTTGCTCCTGCCGCACGGGACCTCGTCGTGGTCTTACGGAAGGATGTGCGGCGAGGTGCCTCTGCTCATCTGCTTGGTGGAGGGGGCCCCGACTCGTCTGTGTCCTCTGCGGGTTCCCCTAGTGTGCAGCCTCGTGTGAAGCCTCGTGAGAGGCCTCGTGCGCCGGTTGGTACGGAGCCCTGTGTGGCGCCCGACGAACCTCCCAGTGCCGATACCAGTGCGAAACCACCTAGTGTGGACCCCCTCCCTGTGCTCGCAGCCGAGGGGGGCGTGGTCCCTAAGTCACGGGTTTTGGACCTCGTTTGGGACGACCGGGTGCGTGAAGGCCCGTGGTGCTCGTCGACTATTTGGGTACCGAGGTTGAAGGGGTTTATTTATGGGGTGCCTGATTGGATGCCTCGGCCTTGTGCATCTCCTGGTAGACAAGTGTCCGAAGATGTCCAGCTGGTCTGGGAGGCGTACTGCTTGCGCTTCCCAGCCAAGGAGTTTCCAGACAAGTATCGTTAGCACCTGTGTTTATTTGGGTACTCTGTTTATTTTCTTGCCGTGTCTGCGGTTCTATGTCTGGTTTGTCTCCATGTTTGGTTTCGCCCTGTTGGGCGGTGTGTTTGTGTATTTGTTCTGAGTGCACTTTTTTTTGGCTGTGCTGTGTGTGTGTTGTGTTCTGTTGCTTGTGTTGGTTCTAGGGCTGTGCTGTATGTGTGTTGTGTTCTGTTGCTTGTGTTGGTTCTAGGGCTGTTTGTGTGTGTGTTTGTTTGCCGGTTCCTGCGTGTTCCAGTTATGAACTTCCTGTCTGTCTTGGCTTGTAGTATTGCTTGTGTGGCCTTTCAGGCTGGCTTGTTACTAGATTTGTATTATTTTGTACCATGTCATTCTGAGTCTTTTTTTGTTTTGTTTCTGTTGTACGCTTATTTGTTTTTTTTGTTTTATGTTTTCTTTCTGTTGTTCTCATGTTTCTTTGTGCTTTATGGATCACTGCTTGTACTGTTTTGACTAGCTGTTTTTATGTGTAGTTCATGTATTTTCCGATGTATTTTTTTTTGTTCTTTGTTTTCTCTTTTCTGTTATGTTGCTCTGTGTTATTTTATGTCTTTCAATGTTCTTTGTAATTCTATGCTTTACTGTTTATATGGTTGCATGTACGCTGTTTTACTTTGTTTTAATAATAAAAAGAAAAAAAAAATGCCCGTACGCAGCCCGCTCAGCTGACCTGTACGCAGATGGTTGAAGCGATGAAACTGCACCACTCCATACTTCTCAAACACAACCTGCAGCTCAACCTCAGATAACGTCACCGGTACACCATGCACACTCACGTACTGCACGGCCCCCAGGGATCCGAAACGGCCACAAACACAGCCGTGTCGGTGACTGGAACCGAGTGGCCGGCCCAACGCGCCACAAACTCCTTGTACAGCGAGCTCCTGCAGAAGGTCATCGCCACCCGCGTAGGGGAAAGCTTTTCCAGCCCTATCAAATCCTGGACATCCACTTGAAGCACATCGACGACAGCAACTTCCACAAGCGCCCAGTCCACATCCCCTGAGAAGTCAAGGCACGCCGTGTCCACCCGCCCTACGCGGGACACACCACCAACCACCATACCACCAGCCGGGCCCTCCAGCCAGCAGGCGCACCACACCACAATCCACACCCGCCTCCACTCAGCACCAGGCGACAACTGGCAGGTCAAACGAGCACGTCCTGGCCCTCTGGTGGCCAGTGAGCGAATACTACTAGGCCGGATTCGGCCGCCAATTGTTGGTGTGTCCAAACCTGGGATGTGGCTCTCCGGCTGTTTTGATTGGCGCCATGGGGACCCTCCTTCCCCCTATCCGCTGTTCGGAGACGGTTGGCCTGGAATTCTCTCGTCGTACCTTGCAGTGGAAGTAGTTATATTGGATATGTTCCGTTTTAAGGTGTCGGATGTGTTTGGTGTACAGCTCCTCACGAACCACCGGGTGCTGCTCCTTAAGTTCCATTCGCCGGCTGTTTATAAAGACTTTGTGGCCCGTTATGATGGGCGTTCGTTTACCCTGGGTACCTGGATGTTAGTCAGCTGTCACGGGCTGCTTCTTGGGGGTGGAGGCCTGGTCGAGGACTGGGCCGCGGGGACACTAAAGCCCCGAAATCATCTCAAGATAACCCTCCCTGCTGACGGTGGTACCGTCTCTGTCTCCGACCGCTGCTGCTCACTCACGTCTGTGGTGCTTCATGGGGTCCCTTTTGAATTCTTTTCAACAAACAAACTTCTAACAAAAGTCTCACTTTTGTTAGAAGTCAATGAAGAAACTAAGTTATTCTGAACAAAGTGTTTATAATAGAATATTAAGAGAGTAAATTACAGTTTGAGGAAAAAGGATAACTGACAGGTACAAAGAGAGAGGAAATGGAGGAATCAATTGCATTAGAAGTTAAGGGGCGGCGCCCCACACTTACCTAGGGATGGGGGTCATGGGGGCGGCGCTCCTGACTTACCTAGGGATGGGAGGCAGGGGGGCGGCGCCCCTGGTCCAGGTGAGGGCCAGGGGAGCGTCACCATGCGCCTCACAGGTGAGAGTGGCGGTGCCTCCCACCTCCACCTGCTGCCGCTGGCTCCTCACCCCGAACCACGGAGGCTCTGACACACACACAAACAGCCTGTTAGTGTTGGTACTCGGCACACACATCCAATGACACACCCAGGTTGTTAGTGCTTGTGATATGCATACACAACCAAACCATATTTTTACACATAACTTAATATTCAGACTGCCACAAGATATCAAGATAATTCTGACATTACTCACGATAACGGCCGTTATTAGCAACGGTTAAGGGGCCGTTAGTGTTGACCATGAGGTGAGAGGCGGTAAGGGAGGGTACTGACCGTTGACGCTGAGAGTGATGACCTTGGAGAGTCCGGCGCCGACACCGTTGTTGGCCTCACACAAGTAGCGGCCCTCGTGGCGGTGGTCCGCCCGACTTACCGCCAGGGTCCCGTTCTCCCACCCGGCCACGCCCCCTTCACCCGTGGCCACGCCCACGAACTCTCCCGACACTGTGGGGATACATGTGTCACTGTTACCCCGGATACTGTAGGGATACATGTGTCACTGTTACCCCGAACACTGTGGGGATATGTGTCACTGTTACCCCGAACACTGTGGGGATATATGTGTCACTGTTACCCTGGACACTAGTGATACATGTGTCACTGTTACCCCGGATACTGTAGGGATACATGTGTCACTGTTACCCCGAACACTGTGGGGATACATGTGTCACTGTTACCCTGGACACTGGGGATATATGTGTCACTGTTACCCAGGACACTGTGGGGATATATGTGTCACTGTTACCCCGAACACTGTGGGGATATATGTGTCACTGTTACCCAAGACACTGTGGGGATATATGTGCCACTGTTACCCCGACACTGTGGGGATACATGTGTCACTGTTACCCCGGACACTGTAGGGATACATGCGTCACTGTTACCCAGGACATTAGTGATACATGCGTCACTGTTACCCCGGATACTGTAGGGATACATGTGTCACTGTTACCCAGGACACTAGTGATACATGTGTCACTGTTACCCCGAACACTTTGGGGATATATGTGTCACTGTTACCCCGGACACTGTGGGGATACATGTGTCACTGTTACCCCGGACACTGTGGGGATACATGTGTCACTGTTACCCCGAACACTGTGGGGATACATGTGTCACCGTTACCCAGGACACTGTGGGGATACATGTGTCACTGTTACCCCGAACACTTTGGGGATACATGTGTCACTGTTACCCCGGACACTGTGGGGATACATGTGTCACTGTTACCCAGGACACTGTGGTGATACATGTGTCACTGTTACCCAGGACACTGTGGTGATACATGTGTCACTGTTACCCCGAACACTGTGGTGATACATGTGTCACCGTTACCCAGGACACTGTGGTGATACATGTGTCACTGTTACCCCGGACACTGTGGTGATACATGTGTCACTGTTACCCCGAACACTGTGGTGATGCATGTGTCACCGTTACCCAGGACACTAAACATACCTCGACATTATTCAGCTGCGTACTGAATCACTATACATATACAAATTAAAAGGTTAATATTGCTAATTAGAACCTTTAAATTACTATGTTTCCTCTGGTGTCAAATCCTCCAAAAGATTTCCTTGACCTAAGAGTCATATAGAATACATGAATACAACTTGTTCGAGCCTAAGCCTCTATATTAGGCTTGTACAAGTTGTATTCCTCCTCCACTAAGCATTATTGGTCTCACTAAAACGACCTCAGTATCGCTATTAGGCGACACCTGAAGAGGAGGCCTGCTATAGTGATCTAGCACATCTGTCGCTCCCACGCACCAGACAAACACCTGGATAATTCACGGGGGGAGAGAGAGAGAGAGAGAAAGACAGAGACAGAGACAGACATTTGGGGAGCCAGGTTCACGAAGCTGTCCGTATTACTTTTTTCTCGCATCTGATCTGATATTCCTCGCTGACACACACACACAGACACAGACACACACACACACACACACACACACACACACACACACACACACACACACACACACACACACACACACACACACACACAGTCACTTAAACAATACTGGGGCCATTAAACCCCTCGAGAGAATAGATATGACAAATATATCATCAATATTATTATTATTGACCTCGACAACATAGAGAAATAATAATAATGACAAGACGGGATGTGGTTCTCACCTGTTTCCTTGCGCCAGGCGATGGTGGGGTTGGGGAAGCCCTTCGCCAGGCAGTGGAGGGCTACGGTGCCCCCGAGGGCCACACTGGCACTGGCTGGCTCCACCACCCAGGCAGGGGGCACTGTGAAGGGGAGGGGGGGAGGGGACACTGGGGTCAACACCCATTTGTTTACACTCAACTCATCAATTATATTGCATGATTTACACATTACAACTTGACACACTCAAGTTCATCACACACTTGGTCACTATTTTATCAAGACTCATCAATGTAATGTTGATAATTTGATAATATAATTTACCTGTTTTAAGAATCTTAGCAATATGGAAATGTATAGAAATTGAGGATATTAATTTTATCATAAATTACTAAATTGGTGATTAAGTAGAGGATGTGTATGATAGAGGCAGCGGACGGCTCGTGTGTGTATGATGGAGGCAGCGGACGGCAGGTGTGTGTGTATGATAGAGGCAGTGGACGGCAGGTGTGTGTGTATGATGGAGGCAGTGGACGGCTGGTGTGTGTGTATGATAGAGGCAGCGGACGGCAGGTGTGTGTGTATGATGGAGGCAGTGGACGGCAGGTGTGTGTGTATGATGGAGGCAGTGGACGGCAGGTGTGTGTGTATGATGGAGGCAGTGGACGGCAGGTGTGTGTGAATGATGGAGGCAGCGGACGGCTGGTGTGTGTGTATGATGGAGGCAGTGGACGGCTGGTGTGTGTGTATGATGGAGGCAGTGGACGGCAGGTGTGTGTGTATGATGGAGGCAGTGGACGGCAGGTGTGTGTGTATGATGGAGGCAGTGGACGGCAGGTGTGTGTGTATGATGGAGGCAGTGGACGGCTCGTGTGTGTATGATAGAGGCAGTGGACGGCAGGTGTGTGTGTATGATGGAGGCAGCGGACGGCTGGTGTGTGTGTATGATGGAGGCAGTGGACGGCAGGTGTGTGTGTATGATGGAGGCAGTGGACGGCTCGTGTGTGTATGATAGAGGCAGTGGACGGCAGGTGTGTGTGTATGATAGAGGCAGCGGACGGCTCGTGTGTGTATGATAGAGGCAGCGGACGGCTGGTGTGTGTATGATGGAGGCAGCGGACGGCAGGTGTGTGTGTATGATGGAGGCAGTGGACGGCAGGTGTGTGTATGATGGAGGCAGCGGACGGCTGGTGTGTGTATGATAGAGGCAGCGGACGGCAGGTGTGTGTGTATGATGGAGGCAGCGGACGGCTCGTGTGTGTATGATAGAGGCAGCGGACAGCTGGTGTGTGTATGATGGAGGCAGCGGACGGCAGGTGTGTGTGTATGATGGAGGCAGTGGACGGCAGGTGTGTGTGTATGATGGAGGCAGTGGACGGCAGGTGTGTGTGTATGATGGAGGCAGCGGACGACAGGTGTGTGTGTATGATGGAGGCAGCGGATGGATGGTGGATGGATGGCGTGGACATGCATGGATGAATGGCGTGGACATGCGTGGATGAATGGCGTGGATATGCGTGGTGGATAACGTGGACATGCGTGGATGGAGGAGTTTGTGAGTAAAGAGAAAGTGGCATGGAAGACGTCTCAAACAAGCCCAGACCGTCTGTGTCTGTCTCTCGTGTCTGTCCTCACTCACCTGAGTGTCTCTCATGCTTGCCGGGGCAGAGCAAGATGGCTTCTCTACCAGCTGAAGTATGTCTTACGGCGTCCATATGCACCACAATCCCTCTGATTACCTCTGTCCAAGCACAACAACTTCCGCTGATTACGTGAGACGTCACCAACGATGCTTGAGACTTCTTACTGATTGACAATCAGTGACTTGGGAGACTTCCCCCCTACACCAACCCTCTAAGGTGGGTTGTGTTCTCGCTAAACCAGTTAGCGGTCTCAGAGGTCATCCGATGTCAGCCTTATGGTCTGGTCAGCATGGTGATAACGGAGCCTCTTGCTCAGCCCCGCAGCGTCTGGGTGTGAGAGTCAAAGTCGTCGCTGGGACACCTAAGTCAAGGTCAGGAGTCGGAGGTGAGTGACATAAGAGCCATACAGGTCTCTTTGTCAATACTATAGCGTCGACCAAGGAGATGTCGATGTGGTACATAGTCTTATTGTCGCTACTAATACACGAGTGAATGTTGCGGATTGAACTACACTAAAATGATCACATTCCTAGCGTCTGTGTGGATCATATCAGGCCTAAAAAGGCCTCTTGCTTCTCTATATTGTCTCCTAATAACGTGTCAGTCTCGCCACAGTGGGCGTGAGGAGCGTGGGCGGCCTACCGCTAACGGTCAGGCGGGCGGTGGTGGTGGTGGTGCGGGCGGCGTTGGTGGCAGCGCAGGTGTAATTGCCGGTGTGGGCGGCGGTGGCTCGGTCGATCACCAGAATGGAGGTGAAGGTGTCCAGCTGGGAGGTAACGACGTTCAGACGGGGGTCGAGTGGGCGGCCATCCTTCTGCCAGGAGTGAGCGAGGGGCCGGTCTCCCTCCTGCACCAGACAGGTGGCCCGGGCCTGCATGCCAGCGCGGGTGCCCACCGGGAAGTTCAGGGGTGCCAGGCGCGGCGGCACTGTAACAACACACACACACACTCCGCTCATTCACATCAAAGGGTAAACGACAATCACCTTGTTAACAAATATATATGGATGTAGTTTCTTCCCAAATATATATTTTTTTTGTGTTTGGTGTATACAGTCGTGATATGTATACTTATATGTAACTTGCCATATATGGTCGCTACACAAAATGTGCATATATGATGACTTAATATTTTCCTGTGACTTCTCTATAAAGTATATTGTTGTTCATGGGACGTACAACAAATCAGGCATTATGCGATATGCTAATTAACAATCATATTGGGATGTTGATTAGCTATATCTATGCTTCCGTTGTAACGGTAATAACATTCATTTAAAGTCTGAGCCGTTAGCTTGTGTACAACATGACTGGAGACTCGCAGGGGGGGCAACAGAGGCCGCGGAACGCCCAAGCTGGCTATTAAACAGATGTTGGAGGAGCTGATTTGTGTAAACAGCTGTCTGCTAAGCTTAGAGTGATTTGCCTCTGCATGAGAAGCTGTTAACACGGAAGAAATGTGACTGCTTTCCAACACTGTGTTTACAACGTAATATCCTCATGCAAGCTGGTACCACATGTCAAAACTCAAGCTTAACGTGGATTCGGTTAGACCAGCTTCTTGTGTCTTGTGAGGTGGAAGGTGTCGCTCGAGGAACACCAATAACACCCCACGAGTGTTACGGATACAGTCACCGAGCTGTAACCCGACGCCCCGGGGTTGGTTACATCTCCACCACACTGGGTGTGGACTTCGGTCATCCACTCTCTCTTCATGACAACAGTCTTTCAGGATAGATTGTAAAATAGTAGTGCCTTCAGTGGTCACTCATGAGGTTGATAAGCCTCAAGCACAACCCTTAAATAAGTTACAGAATTTCATGGTCGGGTTCCCCAAAACGCCTGAAGGGCACTACAGTTACTGGTTCAGGCAGTCTGAGACTCATACACTTCATCACATCACTGCCCGGCCTGTAGTACACGGGACTCCACACGACACGCTCTAGAAGAAAATACGCAGTCATACATACGATTATTTGTATAACGTCCAGATGCGGCATGATACATGTATCCAGAGATGCTTGTAATAATACTGCACATCTGGGATACATACTCCGAGACGGGTAGTAGGAGGAGGAGGAGCAATGTGGCCCACATCTCGGCATGTATACACTCAAGAGCTTTACTCATCATTTCTTCCCTGGATTAAAATACACTTGGTGGTTGGTCAGCCACCTAGCTGAGGCCTTAACAACCCTCGAGGTGGACACGTCTAAAGCTCAACGCCGGTATACACTCAGAAAAAAATATATTCAGGGTCGAAACCAGATCAAAGTATCGCTTGAGACAGCACACAATGAGAGAGAAGAAGGACATTGACCAGCGAGGGGAGGGGTGAAAATGGGGTCCTAAAAGCTGGCCATCGGGTTGAGGGACATAGGACACCAGGGGGGCCCTAGCTGAGGAATATAGGACTCCAGGGGGCCTCGGGATGAGGGATATAGGACCAGGGGGCATTGACTGAGGGATATAGGACTCCAGGGGGGCCCTGGGAGAGGCCAGGAGAGGCAGCAAGGGGAAGAACAGTCGCGGTAAGTGAGTGGCCTCGTCTGGGTTCTCTCGGAGACAAACCCAACACAGACACGTCAAGTTTACTCTGGAAAAAAGTGGAGAGAAGAAGCGTAGGTTTATGTGGGTGGTGGTGGTGGTGGTGACGCCCATGGTGTAGCGCCGCGGTGTGGGCGGGCGTGGGCGTACCATTGACGGCGAGGGCGGCGGAGAAGGTGGCCTCGGCCCAGTGGTTGGAGGCTCGGCAGGTGTACTCGCCCGAGTGGGCTGCGGTGAGGGTGTTGATCATGAGGGCGTTGGAGAACGGGTTCACCACCGACACGGAGATGCCGCCGATCTCCTGCACGGGGCGGCCGTCCTTCTCCCAGGTGAAGGTGATGGGCGGGTCTCCCTTGCTGACGATGCAGGCCGCGCCCGCGCGCTCACCCGCCTGCAACTTGTCCTCGAAGATGAAAGGCAGAACGGCCGGCGCCACTGCAAACACATTGGCCATCCGGCTGTCAGCCTGCTGAGGCTCTGCTTGACTGAGTGCTGCCTGACTGTCAGCACCCTTTACCCTTCCTGTCTGTTGTATGCCTATATCATTCTGCTGCCTCTCTACCTGTCTCTGTGTGCCTACTTCTCATACCTATCCCTCCTGTTCTTAACGCCCTATCTATCTGTCTCTACCCGCGCTTGTCTATCATCTTAACTGTTCCATGTCGTGCATGGCATTCTCTCTCAGACTCTTCTCGAGGACCACCTTCCTGACCATCCGCTGTCTTCCTCCCACCTTCCTGGCTGCTACTTATTCACCCCCATTCACGAATCTACCTTTTCCTTTACCGTACTCCTACTCACCCTCTGACCTGCACCTCTTCTGTCAGACTTTTACTCAGGTAAATACCTTTTCTGTACCAGTCTATGAACAAGCATTCTTCTCCGTCTATGTCTCGTTATTCATTTATTTTTGTCCAGCCAATGTATATATGATCCTGCATGCCAGCCCTGCCTATACCACCCTACTTTTCAATATCTCTTTCAGCCTCTTTGCTCCTCTTTCAAACCAGCCTACCTATCAGTCGCTCTACCGAGCTTGTTATCTCTCGCCCTAGGTGTGTGTGTGTGTGTGTGTGTGTGTGTGTGTGTGTGTGTGTGTGTGTGTGTGTGTGTGTGTGATGAAGAGTCTACACCTCTACTTCTACCTCTACCTTCCCCCTAATGTTCTGCATCTCAGTAGATGTGGTGAAGCAGCTTCAATCTACACTAAACATCAATAAAGAAGAGTTATTAAATTCAATGAACAACGTGTCAATTTCTGCAATGATGGATAATTAACATAATTTTCTCAGTAGTTGCATAGCCGATAGTAATTTATATATATATATATATATATATATATATATATATATATATATATATATATATATATATATATATATATATATATATACATGTATATAAGCACTGGCTGCCTGTCCCCCGGCACAATGAATTCTAACATGAAATACTACTTTTGCTACCACTATTACTTCTACTGCTATTACTTACGGGTCTCCCTTGATTGCTTTTGCCTTTCGATTGGAAAATTTCTGCAATGTGGAAAGGGGAAGCTGTCACCCATGCAGCACGTCCTGCTGCATGGGTAACAGCTTCTCCTCCATATCGACCTACCCAGGCTTTGCGCCCTGGAGAGGCCACTCCAGCCTCGGCGCAACTCCATAGTCTCCCCGAGACTGCAGGATGCCTACTACTTGCTACTAGTGCTATCATTTGTACACGACTATCAAAGTGGCTCCGAATACCATACGAAGGGTATTCGGAACTACTAAGGGTATTCGTGCACACGAAGAGTGGCCAGCCCGGCCGTTGACCTGCACCGGGGCACACGTTTGAGGGGTCACTGTGACCGATCAGGGTCGTCATTTCTCGGTGTTACCAGACAAGAAGGCTCGCCATGATACTTGCAGGGAAGCACAGCTAAATGAAATATTACAGGTGCCGGGTTAATATTACAGGTGCCGGGGGTAAACAAAAGCCTTCTCCAACTCCGCGCCAAACTCAGACGCTCAATTATAAGTTTCGCGCGTTGTCGGGGCTTGCACCTCTGATCCGTTTTTCTATGGTAACTTCTGCGCTTTCTGTGACGACTTATAGAGCTTTACGTGAGCTTCATAATATATATTATTATTATTATTTTTTACATATGAAATTGCAAAAAAGAAACCAAATAAATATAACAAGCCGAGTTTTAAAATTATTATTTTTCCTTTTTTGTTTTGCATAATTGATGTATAATTCGAATTTTCTTAAAAAATTTAATTATTTAAGTTATTCTATAAATTATTTACTCCGGTTAAATATAGATTTTAAATTGCATAATGCATTCGGATCTTCATATGATATATAAAATTTTAATTAACCTAACCTTCATATGTCTAGAATTCCTCAGTACTGCTTCAGTAAAATTACACCTGTTCTTGACACGGACGGTGAGGTATTGGTGTCTCCCTGCTCCAGGATGTCCCAGGATGCCCCAGGATGCCCCAAGACCTACCCATGACGCGGACGGTGAGGTACTGGATGTCTCCCCCTGCCCTAGGATGCCCCAAAATCTCCCAGGCTGCCAAAGAATGCCCCAAGATGTCCTAGGACCAACCCATGACGCGGACGGTGAGGTGCTGGGTGTCTCCCTCCCCCAGGATGCCCCAGGATGCCCCAGGATGCCCCAAGATGCCCCAGGCTGCCACAAGACCTACCCATGACACGGACGGTGAGGTGCTGGGTGTCGGAGAGGCCCTGCCTGGTGGAGGCGGTGCAGGAGTACTGGCCGTCGTCAGTGCCGCGGGTGACCTGCTCCACCACCAGCGTCCCGTTGGCGTGTACCCTCTGTCGGTGGGTGGTGGGCAGCCGGACCCCGTCTGTGGGGACCAACACCAGGTCAGTCGTGTGTGTACTGGGTCATACATGATCTTACATACACCCTGTATATAGAACCAACATCAGGTAGGTTATATATGTGTGTATACTAGGTCATACAATCATACATACCCTGTACATAGGCAGGTTATATGTGTGTGTGTGTGTCTGTGTGTGTACTGGGTCATACATGCTCTTACATACACCCTGTATATAGAACCAACATCAGGTAGGTTATATATGTGTGTATACTGGGTCATACAATAATACATACCCTGTACATAGGCAGGTTATATGTGTGTGTGTACTGGGTCATACATGCTCTTACATACACCCTGTATGTAGAACCAACATCAGCCAGGTTATATATGTGGGTATACTAGGTCATACAATCATACACACCCTGTACAGGGCAGATTATATGTGTGTGTGTGTGTACTGGGTCATACATGCTCTTACATACACCCTGTATGTAGAACCATCATCAGGTAGGTTATATATGTGTATACTGGGTCATACAATCATACACACCCTGTACATAGGCAGGTTATATGTGTGTATACTGGGTCATACAATCATACACACTATGTACATGGACAGGTTATATGTGTGTGTATATATATATACTGCCTCATACATACACTTTTTACGGGCTATTCATGCCCGTGCCACCTTTTGGGTGGCACGGGCATGGGTAAAGCAGGTAAAGTTATGCCTAAATCCCTAGAAGTCCATCATAAATGTTGTCAAATGGTGCGTAAATTCTCTAGTAATCCGTCATAAAAAAAAGGTTAAGATGCTTCGTAAATCCTCTTGTAATCCATCGTAAAGGAAGTCTAATACTGCATAAATTCTCTTGTAATCCGCCACCAAGGAAGTCAAATACTGCATAAATCCTCTTAATATAATCCATCATAGACATAGTAAAATGTTGCATAAATCTCCTTGTCCTCTATAATCCCTCATGGAGAGGCTCCGAAACTCTAGGCTTCACTCCACCAGGGATTAACCCGCATAATATATAGTTTGTTTTGTTCACAGTCGATTGTTCACAGTCGTTTGTTCACAGTCGTTTGTTCACAGTCGTTTGTTCACAGTCGATTGTCCACAGTCCTTTGTTCATCTCTACATGCACAGGGTAGCCTGGTCGTACCTTTCTTCCAGGTGACCTTGAGCACGGGGGTGGCCAGACGTACCTTTCTTCCAGGTGACCTTGTGCACGGGGTGGCCGCACGTACCTTTCTTCCAGGTGACCTTGTGCACGGGGTGGCCGCACGTACCTTTCTTCCAGGTGACCTTGTGCACGGGGTGGCCGCACGTACCTTTCTTCCAGGTGACCTTGAGCACGGGGGTGGCCGCACGTACCTTTCTTCCAGGTGACCTTGAGCACGGGGTGGCCGCACGTACCTTTCTTCCAGGTGACCTTGTGCACGGGGTGGCCGCACGTACCTTTCTTCCAGGTGACCTTGTGCACGGGGTGGCCGCACGTACCTTTCTTCCAGGTGACCTTGTGCACGGGGTGGCCGCACGTACCTTTCTTCCAGGTGACCTTGTGGACGGGGGTGGCCGCAGGTACCTTTCTTCCAGGTGACCTTGTGCACGGGGTGGCCGCACGTACCTTTCTTCCAGGTGATCTTGTGCACGGGGTGGCCGGACACGGGGCACGTGACGAGGAAGGTCTCCCCGGCCACGGCCGACACCTGGCCCATGGGCCGCACGTGCGGCGGGCCGTACACGTTGAGGCGTGCCGAGTGCACCACGCTGCCGGCGCTGTTCTCAGCCGTGCACCTGTACGTGCCGCCGTCCGTCACGTGCACCGTGCTGATGTTGACGTGGCTGATCACCTCCCCGTGCGCTGACACGTACTGCCCCTTCACGTACCTGTAATATATACCGTAATTATGGCCTCTTGTAGCGTGAGATTATATATATATATATATATATATATATATATATATATATATATATATATATATATATATATATATATATATATAACATGGGCTACATCCAGGGGTTATAATAGGAACTGACCTTATTATTTAGTAAAGATCTAACATATTGTATTATTAGAACTGACAGTTTTGTTTAAAACTACTAGCATTAATTACTTTATTAAAAGGTACATTTGATAATCATTTTAAAGAAAAACAATTGCTCAAAATTAAACATTTCCTAATATGTTCAAAGATTGTTAAAAGGGCCAATTGTTCTTCTCTTATTTTCAAACAAAATCCAGCAAAGTGTAGCTGTCTGTCTGACTGAGAGGTTCTTCAAGAACAATGGGCCAAAGAACACCAAAATCTAATCATTGCAAATATAACCCAATGAATGTAATAAGTCTCACGTTGTTCTGTTGTTGTGGGAGGGGGGGGGGGGGACAGGAAGCCAGGTAGACTTAAACGAGGGTCGAACCCCCCCCCCCGAGGTCGAACTTAAACAACACCAACTATTTACAACCTTTCCGCACCCTGCAACCCACAACAGTTGCCTAACTCCAGAGTATTTAGACGCAGCTGCTAGGTGAATAGAGGCCAAAATGATGAATAATATAATGGTACGGCCACCTGTGGCGTCTTTGTTGTCCATCACTAGGAGTTGGTAGATGGAGGGAAGGGGAGGGAGAGAGTGTGGATGTAGTGGGCCAGGGAGAGGTGGAAAGTGGGGAGGGAGGAGAGGTAGAGAGGAGGGGTTATAGGGAGGGAGGGAAGGGAGGGAGGGAGGGGGGAAAAGAGAAGGTCCTTAATAGCAGGAACGAGCTGGGCAGAGTCATCAGACTTGTCTCATTTGCATGCTGGGGGGAAAACAAGACAGGAGAGATTAGAGGAGAGAGAAGGAGAGAGAGAAAGAGAGAGACAGAGAGAGAGAGAGAGACAGAGAGAGAGAGAGAGACAGAGAGAGAGAGAGACAGAGAGAGAGAGAGAGAGACAGAGAGAGAGAGAGAGAGAGAGAGAGAGAGAGAGAGAGAGAGAGAGAGAGAGAGAGAGAGAGAGAGAGAGAGAGAGAGAGAGCAAAAACCACATAATCCACCTACTTTCCTGGCCCCGTAAGACAATAAGGTTAGAGCAGGAATTACCATACCAAAGCAATTAACTCAACGCTGCTAATGGAAGCTGCAAGAAAAAAGACGCTAAGATGAACTCGGAGGGTGGCGGTGGAGGTGCAAAGAATGACGGAGAAGAATAAGAGACGGAGGAGGAGGAGAAGAAGGAGAAGTAGGAGGAGAAGGAGTAGGAGCAGAATGGCATGTCAAAAAAAATGGAAGGAGGAGTAGCAGTCAAGATGAGAGGTAAAGTTAAACAAGAAAGACAAGGAAGAAAGTGAAAGAAAGTGGGAAGTTAGGAAACCAAACGCCCCCCCCCCTCCCTCCTTCACAGGAGCAACGATGATCGGTCGCCTCCTGTTTATACTCAGGATAACGGCGTAGCAGACCTGTGGAAACTACACAGGTCTGAAAAGTCTTAGGGCCAGTCTCGGGCGTCATGGGGCCGCCACCATGGGTATACACGACCGGTGCCCCCAGACCACCGCTGGGTCTCACGTGGAAACGCGACGTCTCAGACATTTTTAAAAAGACTTTGACTGACAGACGACAAACTCTTAGCATTACATCTCAGGTGGGGTCCAAGACATGTGTCGCAGGGTCCATTACATCTCAGGTGGGGTCCAAGACATGTGTCGCAGGGTCCATTACATCTCAGGTGGGGTCCAAGACATGTGTCGCAGGGTCCATTACATCTCAGGTGGGGTCCAAGACATGTGTCGCAGGGTACATTACAGCTCATGTGGGGTCTAAGACATGTGTCTGGGACTCCTGTGACCAGTCTTAACAAACACCGCTCCGAGGCATGGTTCCAGGGATTGAAAGCATAAACAAACGCAGTAATGTAAATCGAAATCTATATGAGTAAGTACCAGGGGACAACACATAATGAAATTCCAAATACCCGAGTCAGGAAAAAAGTAAACACAATGTCTGAGAGTTGTCATAGCCGAAGCCTGCCACTATAGGCACAGTTACATAGAATGACTTCGGTGGAGTAAAGCAAAGTTAGCAAACAATTGTTCAGCCTTCAGGAACTTGTCACAGTAACTCAAATGCCACACTATGCTTCCTATTGCAGACAAACAATTGATAATGTAGCCCTTAGTGTTAAATCTATATCCATGAAAGACATAGAGTAAGATAAACAAAGTCCAGAGATATGGAAAAGAAAAAAAAGAATTTTAGAAAACTAATTTTTGATGAATACGTTAGAAACGAGAAATAAAAACGCCGATAATATCACAACAAAAGGTTTCTATAGCTCTTGATAGAGAGAAGATTGCAGTCCCCTCTATTATACTCAAGAGAAGGAATAGAGGACTCGATGGCAATATAGACTTAGATGAGCCATAGGGACGTAAGGAAGCACTTGTGTGGGAGACTACAGTGACTATAGTGGGATGATCTAGAACGGATGATACCTTAAAAGGTATTAAAATTTAGC